AGCAAACTGCTCTAGCATTCAGCATATTATTTTCAGCCACCCAGACTACACAATTTGTTCAGTCGAGAATGTATACTGCCCAAGATTTTGCACTTGTACAGGAAATGTATGCTTTTAAAAAACAATAAAATCTCTATGATTGGAAAGTTCATATACAAGGTGAAAGATGTTTGTGGAATGCCATCACATGAACAAGTATATGAATGAAGGTATTTGTAGTCACAGGTCTGCACAGTAACCTTGGTCAGAAAACCAGGATATTTGGTTACCAGTTGTTTCCACTGTGGCTTGGTGTCAAAGAACAACTTTCCGAAGAACTGCTGAAACTCAACGGTCCTTAACACCAACAGAAACAGTGGCTCTTATAGATACGGAACATCTTCCACTAGCTTAAAACGCAAAGGAACCAAAAATGGTGTTTGTGAAGATTCATTTTTTTTCCCTATACTTGGAACTGCTTGGCTGATCTTCAAATGAGAGCTGGAGAACTGTACATAAGAGGCACGCCATGCGTTGAAAAAATCAAAAAAATCTTCTGTAAAACCGGCAAAGTAAAAAGGGTCAAAAAAGGATCTCACCCCCCCCAGCCACCACCACCACCACAAAAGAAAACAGGTAGTTCATTGTTGAGTTTGCATTTCAGAGTTCAAAACCCAGCTGCAACCCGTAAGTTTAATCCGTGTGCCAGCGCTAATTTGAGGAAACGCAGGGGTTCCACACAGAGTGGAGTTCTACCTTTTATCTACCACACCAACACCTGTTTCAATTCTGTCATTCTAACTTAGCCCACACATACCTGCCTCACACTATCTTTTTCTCAACCGCTTAGATGTGGTTTCAGACAGGTAAGGAAAAAAGGTTAGTCATCACTCTGTCAGTTAAAAATCTATTCATCAGCTCCCCTCAGAAAACGCAAGACAAAGGCAGAGTGTACGAGCACTCTTTGTTTCAGGGAACCGAATGGTCAGCTGTACCTCACATGAGTGGTGAGTCAGTGTGCAGATAGCCACTAAAACCTCAGACCCTGACAGCTCCTGGATCTCATCATGGTCTCAGATCAGGCTTTCCTTACACGACGGAAAGATACAATGGCAGCCACAGAAATGTCTCAGATGACCCAAAGCATGACAAGTCAGATATGAGAATAAAAAAACAGGGTGATTCAAATGTGAATCTCTTATCAGAGCTCACGTAGCTTTACAGGAAGTATAAGAGGTCACAATTTGCATTTGTTCACAGACATTCGCCGAATTCAGACAGAAATTAAACCTTTCTTTAAATAGAAGAGGAGCGTCTGCGCTACACAGTTCTCTGGAACCTGATCTGGAGCGGCGGTGTTGTAGCTGATAAGCATGCCACACTGGCCATAAGCAAAAGAAGAGCTAGTCATTCATATCAGGAGTGAAATTCAAGTTTGCGAGTTCAAAGTTTTACGGACGATGAAGCTGTAGATGGAGTTTTATGCAATCCTTAAAGATTTCCATGCAATTCTAACACCATGAAAACAAACAGCAGATTGCTGGAACAGAGCATGTATTCATCCTGTTACTTTTAAAGGCGCCTCAGATTCGTGATCAGGGAAAACAGAAATAAAAAAGCATTTCAGGATGTGTGCTTTCTCAAAAACAATGCATTCTCTGGCTGGACTAAATATCTTTACGTATTCTATGGTTTAATTGGTTATTATTTTCACTATTATTAACTAGATTGGAAATCGTAGCACATCCTTTGCACTGTACAGTACCTTGAAATGGTTAACAGAAAAAATGGTCTAGAAATGTAATCGACTCCTACAGCAAAATAATTCCAAATTTCGTTAAGTACGTTTAATCCATTTTAGAAAGAGATTTTAAAAACATTTGACGGCATGATAGGTAATTGTGCGATCGGCAATATTACCAATATTTAGTATATTGTACATTAAAATTCTTTATTTAGTTGAATAAAATGGAACTCAATCACACGTACTGTTATGAAAGTATCCATTATAAAGTACTTTTTAAAAAATCAACTTTGCCTCGTCACACTTTAGTGCAATGACCATCCCTCCCTCCTGCTTCTTTCTCTGATAGCTCTAACAATCTGTGTTTATTATCCTAATTCACGAGCTTCTGCTGCACAGAGTCATGCAGCCAGACTTTGTTGTCTTGCTTTCCCAACTCAGTTGGTGTCAGAAAGGAACCGCAAAAAGGCCCGATCAGCCAGGCCACCTCACCACAAAGCCTCCCGCCCTGACACAGCCTGCTGCCCAAACAGGAGTTTATCATCAAAATACGGAACCAGCACCACTCCTGATAGCCAGACCTAAATAAAACCTCATGCGTCTCCTTCGTCTTCGCTGCTGTCTGAAACGGGAATGCTGAGTCATGTCTAGGAACCCCCTGGGAACATTTCAGTCATAACAGTCTCGAAAGCAATCAGATAAACCTTTATTTTCTTCCCTTTTTTTTTTTACAACCCATGTTTGCAATTTATTTCTAATTATTTTTGTTTTGATCTGCAGCTGGACGTGCAGCTGTGAGGATCCCACTTTTCCCCGATGCCAAACCGGGCTGAAAAATGCTGAGTACTAAGATCAACAGGATTTCCATTATACTGCTCAAAGAAACAACAACAGAGGGTAAAAAAGACCAGCACACAACTGGCACCAGATGACTGTGCCTCAAGTCAAAAGGTGACTTACTATATAGGAAAACTGACATTAACCTACATACAAGCACTCTTCGTCACACAGAGAGTTCATTAGAATTCAGCGAAAATGAACAGATTTGGATTTAAAACGGGCTTCTTAAGCAGCCAGACCAAACAAAAAAAAAAGAGCTGACTAGAAGCATTCCGACACATTCTAATTCTTTCACAATTTGCCACAATTAAATGTCCGACCTGAGAAAAACTCATTTTTAGAACTTAATGCTTTTAGACCATGCATCCTGCTGACAAGCCCAACAAAAGAGAATTAGGAAAGGTGTTAAATAGCAGCAGTAAGTTAGATTAAAGCAGATGGATGTGTACACTTGAAACAAACACAGGGCTCAGTGTGAATGTGTACAAATTGTCGAGTGTTTCAAAATCATGGTTCACACATTGTAAGAAGGGGGGTGGGGGCTTTAGGCATGACAGTTCCTACGCTCCAATTATCAAATTGTCCAGTACAATGTTACAAGCCCCTAATATTTGCCAAAATGAAAGCTGTTTCATCGCTCATAACAGGAGAAAAAAAGGCAGTCTGCAAAAGCAGAGGGGAAACCTAGTTCAATTCTCATGTGAACCTAAATTCCTCTTTTCTATTTCAGTAATTAAAGACAGAGTCTCCGTTTTGTGCAAAGCAGAAAAAAAAGTATTCAGTGCAGAAGAGTCCAATGTACAGTCTGTGTCCTTGAGGCAGTGCGGAGGGCTCCACATTTGTCTTTAAATAGGACACGGCTGAATGCTGATGTTTCATAGATGAAGAACAGCAGGACAAAAATCTGTACATTAAGAATCCAGGATCGCAGCTCAACCCAGACTGAAGTATTTCAGAAATGTATGCGCAAGCCGTCAATTTGATCAAAAGACAATTCACTTGGCATAAATGATGGGTGCTCTGATCCAAGTGGCAGACAAGCCTCAATGGAGTTTTGATTGGACAACACCAAGAAGGAAAAGCAGTCAAGGGAGAGTTTAAAAAGTTGACTGATGCCACCTAGCGTCTGCTTAAGTACTATGCATATTACACTCTGAATTTCATCTTTTCAGGAGAAAGCACAGCGGACTTCATCTGGAGGGAGATTCTTATTTAAAAGGTATACTTAAAATATAACTCCTCCTGCATCTTCCTTTTGAGGGGTTACGTATGTTCTAACTGGGGAGGAAAAAGGCTGATTCATCACATGTGCTGCAAGTCTCACAAGCTCTTCCTGCTTCTTCTGAGGAACTCTCATTGATAGCACAGTGTCCCATGCTGAGTCAGGGCGCAAATCGCTCTTCAGAAGGCACTGAATCACCTTCCATTACACTTATTCCGACTTGGCATATAGACTTAGTTTCCCCTGCTTAAAATAAAAAAAAGACACACTGGGGATTTCTGCTCTTCTAATGATTATTTTTTTCATTACACCCCTCTGACATCATGCCCCCACACCCAGTTGGGAAGGAAAACTCAACATCTATCAAGGAGATGTCAAAGAACTCAAATAAGTTTAATGGAAGACCATGTTAAGCTTCAAATTTTCTCAAACCATCGGAGAAAACAGTTCAGAGTAGCTCGGAAACGGACACTAATCAGTACTCAAGCAGAAAGACACAAACGTTCTACATGCTGGTATGACCACACACTCGCACAGTGTTCTGGAAGGCGGCTAGGTGAATCCCCAGGTTGCTAGTTTGCATGTAGACGGGGGATTCCCAACTAGAGCCCTGCAAGTGTGATTGATAACCACAGCGCTCCCCGAATGTAGGTGTCTTCTACACGAGCACCACCAGAGGGCGCTGTGCTCCAATTTATTTTCACAACTCGGCGTCGTTCGTATGATTAATAACTAATAATTTGTACTGAACTCCAAATACTCCGTAGTGAACATCAAAGTTAAAGCTTATCGCTTCTGAAATAAAACTGCAAAATCACTGCAGTCTGGTTACTCACTCTGGCTGGAAGAAACTCTATACACCACCCATCTCCAGCCTGCACCTCACAGGTGACTTTTTTTACATAGGGTCTCGTCGTCTCGGCGACCAGAGAAAATAACAGCTACTGTAGAGGAAACGGTATCCCCGATCCGGCCTTTCACACCAGCGCCGCCTGCTGGGTGCTAACACAACAACGCAGGATCCAAAAGCTCCACTCGTTCAGGAAAAAAAGGCTACCAGGACTAGCTAAACTGAAGGAAACGAAGTTTTAAGATTCAGAAAACATGTTGATCAAAATTGCCCACGGTGCGCAGATTAAAACTGGATCAGTACTGCTTTGGGGACCCAGACTGTGAGTCAGAGGTAAAAGTCAGAGGTGAAAATGCATTTCTTACCAGGTACAGCAGGAAGGTGTGTAGGCCTGTTCCTAGGCCTACAGAAGACAGAATACCCAAGCCTACCCAGTAGGCACACCATAGGAACTTCTTCTCCATGTACTGCACATACTGAGCCACAGGACAAAAACAGGAAAGAGAACATGGAGAATCAGAATCCAGATCAGACCTGTGGAATGAAGATCCGTAACAAAGGCCAGGCTTATTGACGGCACTGGCGCCATTCTTCCCAGGACCTCCCAGCTGCGTGCTATGCTAGACCGAGTGCTCATCAGAGTAGCTGGCAGGCTGCGTGGCACTGAGGGCAGCACCCGAGTTACAGCAGCAGGAAAACACACTCGGTGTCCCACGTGCTGGCAAACTCCGAGCACTTCGCTCGTCCTCATGAACTCGCGTTTCCTCGGGCTGACGGCCCCTCAATGTTCGGTATTCATGGCTCAGATTAAGAATTGCTCATATGTTCCTGCGTTCTCCTACCACAAGGAACCCACCAAGCATTAATTACTTTCTGACATAACCCCCGCCCTGGAAAAAAAACGAATTAAAAAATATTTTTTGTGTCAACGATGACTAATCTTCTTTCGGTGCTGAGATGTCGGCATATTAACAAGTTGTGGGAAAAAAAAACAGGATTTAAGAAGAGCCTAGTTGTGCTGGGTTGTTCATTTTTGTCTTTTGCGCACAAGTATAGAGACTGCTGCTCTCTCACCTTCTGATGTGTCCCTTCGATGGAATAAGCCATAGAGAAGAATGTAAACAGCACCAGCACCGTTAAAACCATCCCACTCCTCTGCCACAGTCTGTAACAAAGAACAAACAGAAACTCAGTGAGCTGTTTCTCAGCTGGGCAAGTCAGGGCAAGAGTTCAAGACCATGTCAAGAGTCTGTGAGCCCTGGTAGTCTGCCCAAGACCTCATCAGGACCTGGCAGGACTACATTAGCAGCTGGGGAAATGTTTTTTTTAATAAACACCCTCAAAATTTAAAACCATAACTAGCCTCAAAACACAATGTAAACCTGGCTCTGCACCAGCTGGGAGCCCCTTTATCGACAAGGATAAAGACTGAATATAGTGCCAACCTTTACGATTATACCCTACACCTGCTAACTTCTCACATGATGTTCCACATATAAATTGGGCTGTAACTAGCACAAGGTAAGGTGAAAAAAATCAACACTGCATTGCTAAGTTGAAAGGGAGAATTGTTTGTCGGATGACACTGCTTCGGGAAAAACTGGAAAACCTTCTCTAATACACTCAGACTGAGACCTTTACCCCGAGGAGTTCTGCAGCAGGGGAAGTTCAGCTCTGCCTGTCAAGCTGCGAGATGTTGTGAGTTGCAGGTGGAAAAGCAAAGGTCAGCCAAGCTGGTGTGCTCTCCCAGTTGGCTTGCATCATCACTATCGGTGCCGACTCAGACTCTAAGGACTCTGGACTTGCCTTCCTCCACGTTTACTGAACTCTGATCACAAATAAACCAATCAGTCCAAATGAGAAAATCAGGTGCTGGCTCTACCTTCAAAGCAGATGGGCGATTAAAAACCCAGGGCTTCCAGAGGGGACTGAGGTGTGTTGAATATTATATGTGTTTAAACCAAGGATCAAGTTAAATGGAGACCAAATTAGGCTTTGCGCACTTAATTTATGACTATATTTGCCACAGACTTAATTTGAAAACAAATGAAGCACATTAAGGCTGGCATGGTGGAGTAGTAGTTAGAACTGCTACCTCACAGCGCTGGGGCCCTGGGTTCAATTCCTGACCTGGGGTGCTGTCTGCGTGGAGTTTGTATGTTCTCCCTGTGTTCATGTGGGTTTCCTCTGACAATCCCCAAAACATACACGAAAGTTAATCGGCTTCTTAGAAAATTGACCCTAGGTGTGGGTGTGAGTTTGTGTCTGTGCTTCTGCCCTGGAATGGACTGGCGTCTCGTCCAGGCTGTAAACCGCCTTGCACCCGCTGCTTGCTGGGATAGGCGCCGGCTCCCCCACGGTCTTGAATTGTATAAAGCAGTTATGAATTGGGTGGATGGAGTGAGCAGATAAGCCTAGGCGGAACAGAACCAGAGGTCTCCTCTGGTTTTGGAGAAAAGGCTGAAGGCTCTCAGTGAAAGCTCGCAGCCAAGTGTAGGTTACGCTATATGATCACGGGTTCAAGTCTGGCTCATGTCACTAGCTGACTACAGTGATCAGGACTCCCAGGTGGTGACAGGCCAGTATCCGAGCGCCGTCAAGGGATGAGGGCAATGAGTCAGGCAGGGATTTCTCCGAGACACGGCCCCCCTGCAGTCACCCGGGAGATTATGGTGCTGTAGACGAGGGACACACCTCTGCTTCGGTATGGGTCTGTGTCACCCATGTCACGTTTAAAGACCAACCAAGCTCATACCCGAGAGCCGCGATATAAAAATCGCCTGTTCCAAATCAGGTGAGGGTAACAAAACTGACTGGAGCTTACAAAACAAAGACGGAAGCAGACCCAAAGACAGCATCTGCAGCCTCCTTACCTTAACGTCCACTCCTTCAAGTCTATCAGGGCTTCCAGGAAAAAATACTGCAGGGTAACGATGGGCCGTCGCCACAGCACGAGCGTGATCCTCTCCTCTTTATCGCGCTGCTTGCGTTCGCTGAGGGAACAGGGGTCTGAGCACAGGGACGGGAGAGAAACATCACACGTCAAGAAACGCGTCAGGACATCGCAGTCAACTGGGAGGCGACCGGAGCTGAATTTCTAAGCTTCACTCTGCCTTTATGTCATTCAGAGTTACTGTTGGAGTCAAAGTAGGCTGCGAACTGTAAAAATAGGCTGCAAAATATCATGTTATGAAATTTAAAGGCCACACATGATGTATGTCACTGCTACACTGTCATACTTCAAAGAACACAGAGAGCGTATATGCTTGTAGGATACTGACAACCCAACCCACCTCTGCCATCAGGGATTTTCATGCCATGGGCTGAAATAATTCAGAATTAAATGATTCAGTCTTCCTCTCCAGCATGGCACTTCATTAACTGCGACAGATTTGCTCACATTTCAAGACATAAAAAGGGACCTGTTTCTTGACAAGCTGATTTCCACTACACTTGTGCAGCTGATACAGAAATACTGCTTCGGTTTGATAGCATCTTGCCTGTTTGCCACTTCCTTTGGTTTTTGACAGTTTTGGTCTAAATGTAATTAGTATGTGCAAAACGTATTGTGTTTTGTGTTTCTTTCTTTCTTTTTATTGCATGTGCTATATTTAATTTGGAGCCTGCAAAACTCAACAAAAACCTGAATTTCAGAATAAGGTTGGAGGGGGGAGCTTGCACACTTTTGAGGTGGGAAATGAACTTTGCCTACTCTTTTTTTTTTGGGGGGCATACCTGCAAAGCTTCCATTCTGCTGCTCCTTTGTGGTTCCTACACGCCGCTGTGGTAGTTCGCAGTCTGCTCCATTCTCTGCCATCTCATTGAGTAGTAAGGCGATCAAGGGGATCTGAAAGAATCACAGACGCTGGGAGGTGAACACGGCTACGGTCCAGGAAAACCGGAAAGTCTAGGTCACTGGCAAGGGCTGATCTCCGACCCAGCGCATAATCAAATCAATACACCCCCCCTGCTTGGATACAAACTAGCATCATCCACCTTCATGCTTAACATCTATCCATTTTCTATACTGCTTCCAATTCAGGGCTGCCGATCGTGGCAAGCAATGGGCACAAGGCCAGGTACCCTCTGGAAGAGAATCCAGTCCTGCTCAGGGAAAGATACACAGATATACACATACACACCTAGTGTAAATTGTCCCAGAAACCAAACCATGCTAGTGTCAAACATCTAACCAAACTAGTATTCTCATGAAAAAGTGGCATTTAAAGGATTATCTCCCAGAGACTTAAGATGAAGACATTTTCAACATTTGTGTATATATGTGGTTCCTTTGTTATCTTCTTCAACCTTGCTTTCATGAAATACCAGTACTGCTGGAAACTGAAGGTGCTGAAATGTAAACGACTTGATCTGCAGCACAGTGCCAGGTGCCCTATGCCAGTGGAGAAGGTATGATTTTAAAGTAATTTCTCTCCCCCTAAACCCCATCTGCTTCTGAAATATTTTTTGTTGTCGGATGATATGACCGTAAAATCTTCTCAGGCATGCATCTTGTGTCCTGCCAGGGCCTGTGATATTAGTCAGAGTCATTGAAATGACACTGTCATACTCTAACAATGTTGTAGCAGCTCTGCTTAACGATGCTAAACAAACGCCTGCATTATCTTGTTTGTACTCTCACATTTCCGCCTGTGTAGAGATATTCATATCCCCAAGATATCTCAGCCTGCTGGCATCTGATAAGCTTCAATGTGAAACATGACAAAAAAATATGTCCATAGTACAACTCACATTTTTTTTTTTACAAACTCAGTCTTTTTCCACACCTTAAAATAACTTTCCGTCCCCTCACAGACTTTTGAAGTCAATGTAAATGGTATTGCAAGACATTTTAAAGGAAAAGCAGATCTTGACCCACGGTAAATCAGGCAGCCAGCTAATAAAACAGTCTGAGTTTATTACACAAATAACAGTAATGTGACAAATTGGCTTTCCTTCCAGACATAAAAGCCCAAGTCATAGTTATACTCAGTCATTTCACAGAAAGGGTCGGCACAAATGAATAATAGAGATCGCTATTCTTTCTCACTTGTTGGACTTTATATGCTCCACTTTTAATTAGAAAAATAAACGTAATATCCTGGACGTGACAAACACAACTAAGCTATTCAGGACTGGAAATAACTTCTCTCCCAGCAAGCCGCCTACGATACTTGACATTCAGAGCAACCATACAGAAGAGCTGTGTTCTGGTCCTCCTCAGAACTTAGTCTCCTAAAGCAGGTGCTTTAGGATCACTGGATCAAGAGACAAAGTCTCCTGTCCCCACTCATTTGAAACAGATCAACACAGACCGGCGCTCAATTCCAGCATGCACCTCCAACCCAGTACATGGCCAGCAGCCATATCACCCTGCAACTCACAACTGGCAACCCACTGAAGCTCAGCAGGTGTGAGCCTGGTCAGTACCTGGATGTGAGACCTCCTGGGAAAAACTAAGGTTGCTGCTGGAAGAGGTGTTAGTGGGGCCAGCAGGGGGCGCTCACCCTGCGGTCCATGTGGGTCCTAATGCCCCAGTATAGTGACGGGGACACTATACTGTAAACAGGCGCCGTCCTTCGGATGAGACATAAGACCGAGGTCCTGACTCTCTGTGGTAATTAAAAATCCCAGGGTGCTTCTCAAAAAGACTAGGGGTGTAACCTCGGTGTCCTGGCCAAATTTCCCATTGGCCCTTACCGATCATGGCCTCCTAATAATACCCCGCTGTGAATTGGCTTCATTACTCTGCTCTCCTCCCCACTGATAGCTGATGTGTGGGGAGCGTTCTGGCGCACTATGGCTGCCGTCGCATCATCCAGGTGGGGTACACACTGGTGGTGGTGGAGGGGATCCCCATTACCTGTAAAGTGCTTTGAGTGGAGTGTCCAGAAAAGCGCTATATAAGTGTAAGCAATTAATTATTATTATTATTATTATTATTAACCCAAAGGTGACATAACTGGAGATTTGACTGCACTGGGAACCATCAGTTATCTCAGACACACTCACTACTCCCTCCATGTCAAACTGTTAACCAACGCCAGCCTGGAGACCGCGTCAAGAGAGACAAGAAGACTGGGCAGACTCGGCAGTAAACGGGCACATGACTGAAGTCCCCCTCAGGCCCTGTTGAAGCTTTGAGCTCCAAGGGGCGGCGCAGCAGAGTTCACAGCGACTGGGGGACTGGACCACCTCAGGGGTGCCTGGGGAAATCGCTGGAGCAGCAGTCCTGACTCTGCAGGCTGGTACTTGGGAACTCCCAGGCACAGTCTGTCAAGCCCCAGCCCAGACTGGAACTGACCAGAGATGGTCTACAGCCTGGGCTGCGACTGAGCCACTAAGGATCCCTCAACTGTGTCAATTTAATGACACAGCCTTGCAGATAAAAGTAATAATAATAATAATTTTAGGAAAAATATTTAAAAGTGGCTCCTCAGAGTGCTTTACAGCAAAAAAAAAAAAAAAAAGAAATACACTATGACAGGAGAGAGTACAATTACATGGTTACAATGAGGGTTTGGAATACAGTAAGAAAGCAAAGGAGCAGACACAAAGCCAGTCAAATAAAGACTCTCCGATAACCTTAGGGATAGAATTCCAGCGCTCTGAGGCACAGCAAGAGAAAGCCCTGCCACTCAAGAGTGTAGAGAGACAGCAATTAATACGACAGAATCACATGGTGTTACCCTACCATAGTCTAGGAGTATGTCTGCATTTTAAGAAGGTAATGGCTTAATTTAAGTCATAATGGTCTAGTTCCAGATATCTAGTTACAAGGCTCTTTCTGAATTTTACACAGAGAATTAAAACATTTGGAACTGAACAATGTTAGGAAAGAGTGTGGTCACAGAGTGCTGAAAAAATGGCATTCAGGAGAGAACAGGATGGGTGTGGGTATTGGGTAAGCCATTGAGCTCATAACCAGTGGGGTGGTTCTTGCTCCAGTCCCTGTGCAGACTGGGCTGTTGTAGCTTGAGTGAGGTAGTTTGCCCCAGATGCTCCAGTCCACCCAGCTGTCTATGTGGGGGCCAGCATTGCTGGGGAGGTGATCACCATGATGGACTGGTGTCCCATCCAGTAGGTCCTGTGCTCTCTAGCCAGCTTAACACTACAGGAATCCAGGTGACTTCTTGGCTGCTCTTTTTTGTTAATGTGGAAGTCAGATGCCACCTCTCTCATCTCACATATCTCACAGATGTCTAGTGAGGATCCTGAGACCTCTGACCAACACTATGTCTGGTAAATTATGCAGTGCAGTCAGCTTACAGGATGGTCAACAAGCAAATGCTGGTGGCCAGCTTGTTAATCATGCCCCAGGTGCAGTTACTGGGAAAGACATTGTAGTTATAGTGCCCGTAGGGTCTCTTACGAAACCCCTCGATGATGAACATACACTCTACAAAAACACAAACACAAGTTTTGGCTAAAAAACAAAGCTGACACCTCTGGTTTTCGTGACATTGTGTACAGCTGGAATCATTTCCTCGTTCGCAGCTGCTTCAATAAAAGACATCTCAAACCAATACAGCACTGCAGATTTATACCTTAAAGTTACGCAACCTCCAGCTAGCCGCTGCAGTAGAGTATTTTGAATTTGCCCTACATGCAAAGGAAATGTCTGTGGCGCAGTGTGCAGCATGCTCTCATTTTCTCTCCTTCATTTTTTGTTTTTGTTTTTTGAGTTTAATCGCTACATTTTAATTATTTATTTTGGACTTTTTCCTTCTCTAATTGGTATTTCTTTTAAGAGTGTCAGACCTCTGACCCGGGCCAAGGATTGAACCATTTCTATTCTGGAATCTTTCCCCAAACCTTTGAATATGCAAGGATATGCATCCTTTTGACATGCCAATATTTAGTTACAAGTTGCTTTGTTCAACTTCCCTTGTTTTAAAAGGAACCATTCTAGAACATCCTGACCAGGAAGCAAAGGACGCAAGTGATCACATTACGCCTGTCCTGGAGTCCCTGTCCTGGCTTCCTATCAGGTTCCGTGTTCGCCTACAAGGCTCTTAATGGCTTGACATCTCAGTAATATCTTCCTACTCCCCAACTCGCAACCTTCGTTTGTCCGACTCTGGTCTCCGGTTCATCCCCCAAGCCCATCTATACTCTATGGGTGACAGGACTGTCCAAAGCTCCAAAGCTCTGGATTCCAAGGATATCAGAGAGTCACCTTCCCTGAGCCCTTTCAAATCAAGTCTTTAGACCTGTATGATAACTCAGTGCAGATTAGTGGTTAAGGCACTAAGGTACCACAGGCTCAAGGATTCAAGACACAGTTCAGACACCACTGTTCACGCCGTGGACCACCTGTGTAGACGAGTACCAGTACTGTGGTAGGGATGATTTTAGGTGGACTGCTGCCAGTCCAAGAGGGGTATTGTATTATCAGTTTGATCACAATTATAGGAACTGTGATGAAGCTGTAGCAAAACCAGAACAAACACAGACTTGTGAAGAGCGTAATCTTTAAAGACATCTCAACATTCTCACACAAATAAGGAATTATTAGAGCTTCATTATCGCAGTGGCAGCCTACACAAGTCACTTTCCAGATCCTGCATATGACCCCAGGTGACTGCTAAATTTAAATTACGCATAAAAACACAATTCTGTCAGTACTGCAGGAAAAATCTTCCGGTGCCGGCTATGTTCAAATGGAGTTAATCCTCATGCAGCATCTGATCTAAGAGTCAATGACAGCCCGTGGCAACTACCACGTGGCCCAGCAGCAGCTAGACTGTGGTGAAATTGATCAGTTTTAATAAGGGAAAGAAAAAGATGCCAGGGCTGTTTACATGCAGCTGAACTTGGACTCTGACATGAGTGGGAAAGAACACAGAATGGAGAGGCGACAGAGCTGCCAGCATATGCATCACCCAGACTGAACACATACGGTGACTATACACAAACAGGAATAATCAGCATTGTATTCGTTTCAGACTTCGGGAGAAAAACCTCCGAATAACTCCAATCTCATCAAAGCGGTTTAAGATGAGAGGAGACAAGCCAATACTGCAAAATCAGGAGAGGGTCAGCAGTCTGCCAATGTCAATTACTAGTGAAGAATGCCGTTGTGATTATTAACACGATCTGCTACCACTGCTCTTCACTTCATGCTTTTCTAAACGTTTCCTAGATCTCGACACCGCCCTGCTCAGGTTCAGGGCTCTGAATGTGAGGAGTCAGCTGGGCAAGACAAACAAACAATCATTCAATGATTCATGGCAATATCAGAATTACCAAACAAGTGATACAGCAGAAACCTGCTTTGGAACGCACCTTGAAGCAAACCGGGGCATTTGCTGATCCCCCAGCTTATCACGATTATTTTAACGTACCCAGCCCTCTCCTCCTGAAAGTTCTGCCTGCATTGAGAGTGTCATCACAGAAATGACCTTTTATTGAAATTAATACTGCGCAGCCCTGACAGCTCACTGGTAGGAGTTGGCAAAAACCTACACTGTGCTTGATTTATGAAAAGGCTGGTAAAAGGGCATTTTGCATAACGCTAATGAGGTAACAGCTATAAAGAACCCCTGTGAAAAACAATTATTTTCCATATTATAGAGATTTTTGTTCATTGTTGTTTTCTCAGTTATCCAACACTCCTTAAGTCCTTTGCACCTTAATAACAGCAGAGTGAATTAAAGTAAAGACAGCTTACTGTTAATGTCCATGACTAAGTGTCCAGCAACAGTATTTTTAGGTACCGCTGTCCAGTTACAATTATGGCTTTAAATATTAGGAAAATAGGTTTTAGTTTTTAAATAAAAAGCAAGGCAAAAAAAAATGAATAATTATGAACAATCACAGCTGTGGTAGTGAGAGCTGTTCAGAACATAAGAGAAAGTTCCTGTTGGCACTCAAAGCTGAAATCACAAAGGACATCGCAGTTAAAGTAGAACTTACATCTTCACTAAAACTGCCCTTGAGGTAGAAAGCAAAGTGACACTACAGTGCCAACAGTATAGCTTATTCCATAACTTCATAGATTTTGGAAACCAAAATCAGACATATGAACAACTATCCACTCAGCACTGCAGAATTCTGATCATTATTCTTAACAACTGATCATTATTCTCAACATGAACCATCAATTTATATTGCGTGAAATGTAGACTTTATCTTTTACTATAATTTCTCCTTTATCTCTTTTGCTTACAGGAAGTCAGACTTCACAGTTCATAACAAAAGATAGCTTTACGGATAGCAATAAAGTCTTTGCAGCTTGCTGACAAAAACCATTTGCCTTTTCCAATTGTTTTTTTACATCTACCTCAGCATCAGAGAGGAGTATATCCAAACGGACGTGCTGAACAACAAACCAACCAAAGCATCACACCATTTTAGAGAAAATGTTTCATAACCTCATGAACATTAATGCAACTTTTAAGTACAGAAGTAGAGTTAATCTATAAAAGCAATGCATGTGATTGTTGAGTTCCAACCTACTTACCTGACAGGTATACTTAATGCCTTAAAAGCATGTAATTATGGCAACTTATATATATTGTGGGCACAAACACCCATCCCAAAATGAAAAACATCACATGAACCTAACCTTAAATGTATCTTTCTATAAGTGCTCACCCCCTACCATGTGGGAGTGTTTTAATGACAGCAATGAACATCAAGTACCACATTAATGCAAAGAATGACTGCAATCTGACTTAACAGCCTATGTTTTGAGGTAAATACAGTATGTTATTGCTGCTTTTTTCATTTTAGAGTGCTGCTGAATCATAATGATACACTTACAATACAGCGTGGATGAGAAATGGCATTTATTTTAAATACTTCAGTAGAAGACAATGCAGTGGAAAGTCAATCCGCTGAACAAGGCATTAAAGCTTTAAGAGTATTGATTGGAGTTTTTTACACTTCCAGGGTGCTTTACCTAGTAGAAAAAGTATCTTAAAAGTAAGAATCGCTTCCTGAGCCTGAACAAAAAAATAACTAGTCTTGCATCTTGAATAATTTAGCTATTTCTCAACAGACTTCAGAAATAATCATCAAAAATCTCTTGCGCAATACTTAGTGTACTTTCACAAAACAACCCTGTAAAACTGTGCTATGAAGAAGCCCCAGACCACAAATAGTTATGTTAAAAATGCAAGATATAAAAATCTAAACCACATTGTTAAGTTTTAAATATGCCTTTTAACTCCAGGTACCAAAACACAAAGAAAATGACAATACAACCTATATAATAAATCCAATACAATAAGTTCTTTGCTAAAACATAAAACTCTCTTCTGGGCAAAGACAGAGACATATTTAAGGTAAGGTATACATGACTTAAATACAGTTTGCAAGGATTAAAGCTTTGCCTTTGAGCATACTTTTGTAAAACACATCTGGACCCTGAAAGCAAGATGTCAGTATTACAATGTGCTCATTCAAATTCTCAATTTGAATGCCATCAGATAATTCATAGTCTCCTTTCATAAAGGAACCATTCAGAGGTACATTTATCCAGCTAAGTTTTTTTTTTTTAACCGGCTCACAATTAGTAATTAGAATGTGTTTTATTAAGAACGAGACTCTGGGGTAACCCTATCACACAACCAGCGCTCAATTCTAAGTTACAACAAGGTAACAGCACTTGATCAGGGTCTCCGATTCCTTCTTTTGGAAACATGACACCCATCAACTTTCCTCACAGTAAAGGAAACGAGATTCAGTTACTACTAATAATGCCGATTCTTAGCATACAGAAGAAGAAACAGCTGGGATTCTCACCTCAGCACAGCAGCAGTGGACAGTGGATGAAGCTGTTCTTACTGGGTCGCACAACCAGACCAACCAGGCAGGGATGGATGTGACCTCAATCAGCAGAGCAGAAAGAAGGAAGAAAAACACTACAGCTCCTGTTTAGAGCTGTTCTCTGCTCTCTGCCCAGCTCTGAGCTTCTCCTCCACAAGCGTTTTGGATCCAAAGCCCTCTATGTAGGGCAACAGAACGCCGGCGACTCATTAAAATAAAAGAGCTGGAGCCAACTGCGTTCGTAGCTAATTTTGCTCACTGTACACCACAAGAGAAAACCCCAACTAATTAAATATTAAAAATAAAAATGAGGTCATTTTTTAAAAGGTATAAATCCTCACTGGGCTTTAGTGTGTTAAAAAAAAATCAGCTGTCACACATAGTGGTGCACTGCGAAAATCCACTTAAAGAAAAGTTCAATTTAAAGTTGGGAATTATAGCCCTGGGGCAATCAATTAATTTCGAAAGGGTCATGCCTCAGTGCTCCAGACCCACATTCTGCATTCTTAATCTTAGCTTCCTCAAGTCTATTTTAAAATATGTCCTGCAGTGTGAACTTTGAAAACGCTCTGTGAAATGTGTGAAAGGTGACTGCTGAACTAAGATGGAACAAATACAATAACAAAGAAGTCTTCTTGTGCTCCTATTTACGAGTTATGTTTTGGTTAGCAATGCATGTTGGGAGTGAAGGAAACTGACCCTGTGACCTTTCATCTTTCAAGTTTGGGGGGTGGGGTGAAGGGTGGAAATGTTATGTACACAAACATTACTTATTTAAAGTTAATAACTGCATCACCTGTTGCTGGTCATGCTAAGTGAATCGACACAGGCCACAGTGCTCTGTGCACCAGAATGCAAACACACCACAAAGTTGTTTCACTTTCCAGTCCTCCTCCCTTTAGCCAAGGTCTGAACCAAAGGTCAACGTAACAATCTCTGCCACATGACTCCTCAGAAAACCACCATGCTTCAGTGAAGATGCTATTGGCCTAATCTTTCTGAAGTCCATTATTCACTCCACTCTACGCTAGCATACAAAGAAGAAGAAAGTCTATTCAAACTGAGGAGGTAGTTTATTACTGAGACACAGAGTGGACAATTATCAAGGCCTGATGTGATCATGGTATTGCTGCAGGATTTGAACGTAAAAAACTGGGAATACTTCACTCTAACAAATATCGATTTTATACCCTACACCCAAATGTAGGCAAGCACCAATGTAGCTCAGCCACGGAGACAGGCTTCTGAAAAATCAGGATCGATAAGACAGATTCCAAGCCAACCAAGGCCCTGTCCATGAAACTCAAACAAACAGACAAATATGTCAGACTGAAGAGCAGATTGATGATCCATAATCCAAACACATGGAGAGGTACTGTATACACTGGCAAACCTATTTAACAACTGGCCATATGTACAGGATCCAGCATAAATAATGCAGTTTTTTTTTTCTTCAGGTAAGGAATTAAGGATTTATTCCCCTTTTGCCAATCATAACAAAGTTGGGAGCTACAACACGAAAAACCTATTAAAAGTTTTCATTCAATGCGATATAGACATGCGCAGATTCATAGTAATGATCTGGCACCTTGTACGGTTTGGATTATTTATAAATCCATTGGAAGCCCATGTAGGTAGACCAAACTACTGGTCTTATTTCATTGGTGACTTAAACTTGCCACAGATGCAGTTAATTGTCAATGCATCGTTGGTGCACCACAGATACTTCATAAGCACCAGGTGTTCCTTTTGTGCTTGGCTACACAAGCCAGGAATCAGTACCAAATGAATGACCAGATTAGCCATTCTTGCATACAAATATAATGGTTCATCCATCTTCTACCCGTGTCTTCTAATAACAACTGCCATCCTTTACTACTATCAGATATTATTTTAAAAAATACATCAGGAGGTTGAGACTGTTTTACAGAGTTCATTAGTCCACGTGAAAGAGTGGATGAACTAGTTTATGACGCACCGGCAGAACCGGCAGAAGTTTTTCAGCCACAGTGCCACGAATATTAATTCCAAAGGTGAAAGTGTCTGATGTTGTCCTGGATCGCTACTGGGACTCTTTCGGCAGGTGAGACATTTAACACCCTAAAGACACCAGCACGGGTCCTGACCAATCTTAACGAATGACGCTTTCCCCACCAGACCCGTCTCCTGTGTACTGTACCAGCCAGCGTACATTCACAGAGACTCCTTTGTCGACAAACAATACGCCAAGAACAGCGACACCAAGACGAGCAACGCTTCTTAATCCTCTGTATATCGGAGTTTTCCGTCCTGGGCTGCCGAGACAGCCACGCCAAGGAGCACTAGGATTCTCCTACACCGTTGCCAGACTATTCGCTTGCAATGCCATATCTAGGATTCTCTGTCCCGGTTTCCCAGCACAGAGACGGTGCGCGGTCTTTAAATAAAGGAGTAACCGTGCACTCAGCCAAAAACAGGAGCAACATTTCGCAATTCTGGAAAGATGATGCGAGACAGGAACGCCAGGCTAACCCATAAAAGAGTGCCGTTTTCTAGCGTCTTTCACCACCTAGCTACAATACGAAACCCAAGACAAAATCAAGCGTTCTTCAACTGAACCCCTCGTTTGAATCAATCAATCATTCCTTTTCAAACCAAGCTCCAGCCTCTGAGTGACAACCCAAGACACGGCGCTGTAGAGCTAGCTCGTTTCTTGAAGGATGGACTGAGACACTTCAAGAGGTTGCTCTTCACAGTAATGTCTATCACTGCCGGACTGGTTTTAGTCCCGGCTGTACAGGGATACCTCGGTTTTGCCATACGAATCCCGATTTCCCAGCTCCGCTTTTACCTTGTCTCCTAGCTCAGCTCTCTCGTCTCGCCTCGTCTCCAGCCCACAGCTTTCTCACTCACACTGGTGTCACACTTACAGGAAGCAGACGTAGTACAGACTCCCGGCACTTCCGCTTACGGATTAGCCAGATCCATTTAAACTCGTTTCTGTGTAACCTATTCCTAAATATACATATACAGCGGAAAAAATCATCGATATATGCATTCCTTATTAAATGAAATGAATTAAAGCGGAAAACACATGTAGTGATTTCCAGAGCCCTGACGTCATCATACCGCGACAGAAGCGGGGCCAGTTGGCTGACGCATGGTTGGAGTTCAAGCCGGGTGAGACCGATGATTAATATTACAGTTTATGATCTTTAGTAATGTTTTTTTTTGGTTTACATTTTCTACTGATTTCAATGAGCATAGTAACTAGTTTCAACATTTAATCCAGTTTGTTCGGTTCTAAGACAAAGGCTGCGTCTGTATTGAGGACCTAGGGGGTGTTAAGCGCTCCGAGCGCACATGGGTTCAGTAAAATTAAAGTTGCAAGCTTTGCGATAAAGCAGATGATGATGTGGTGTTATAGAGGTACTCATTAAAAGAACAAGAAGTATGTTATATATTTTATTTAGCTGCTACGACGGCGCAGTTTTTCTTTGTATAACTCACGTTAGATTTTAGTGTTAGAGATCTATATTGTCGTACAAAGTCCGCTTAAACATATTTAAAATATGTGAGCATTTTGTAAAATACGCGTTAGTAAGTTCTTCTGTTTAAAGAATAATCAAAGGGAAATATGTTGATAGCTATTTTACCAGCAAGTGCTGATGTTTCTATTAAATATTGAAAAGCGAAAACAGCATATATTAAAGCACCTTACGACACGAATAACTGTGCATGACAAAAAGGACACGATACAGGGCTTGGAGTAGCATTCCCTGTTACTCTGTTTTTTCGTGATTCAATGCCTTCATCTTCAAAACCCATCTTCTCATTTTTTTTAATCGCCTTTCTTAATCCCTTGAACAAAAGGGTGTAATTAGCGGCGGTCCCGGGTGTGAAAAACGATTAAATGCTTCATTCTAAAAATAATGTCAAGTCTCAGTACTCTTGATTTCCCGTTTCCTGCCCCGAGAGCCGGGTGCCCTCGCCTACCTCGCCGGGTAAATGCCTCTGCGGTTTAGGACGTCAGTTCAACATGCCTAATTAAAGAAAAGGAGCTAAGCGGAACCCGGAACCTGCAATGGACACAGTGCTAATAAACTCGTACTTCCTTCCTCTCACAGGATTTGATCGGAGAGACAAAATGGATCTGGTGCCTAGCCCGGTCACCCTCGGTGTTTTAGCAGGAGTGAGCTGTGGGCTGTGTTTAGGCTGGTTCCTTCGCGGTCGCTCCTCCAGGTGCCCCAACACCCTGAAGCCTCCGGCGGGGAATGACCCGGGCGGCGAGACCAGCGTGATGGGAGAGGGAGGAGAATTCAAAATGATCCTTGTGGTACGAAGCGACCTGAAGATGGGGAAGGGCAAGGTGGCGGCGCAGTGTTCCCACGCCGCTGTCTCGGCATACAAGCAGGTCCAGAGGAGGAGCCCGGAGATGCTGAAACAGTGGGAGTACTGTGGGCAGCCGAAGGTCGTGGTCAAGGCCCCCGACGAAGACAGCTTGATCGAACTGCTGGCTCATGCAAAGGAGCTGGGGCTGCCTATTAGCTTAATCCAGGACGCTGGGCGAACCCAGATTGCTCCAGGTTCACGTACAGTGTTAGGTGTGGGGCCTGGCCCTAGTGACCTAGTGGACAAGGTAACTGGACACCTGAAACTCTATTAATGGCCCGTTTCCTCTGCTAAACCACATGCAGTCAGAGCTCAAGCCCTTCGTAGAATCTTCCAACCTTTGCCCCCTTAAAAACATTTCAATATATCTGAAGATCAGTCCTAAGTGAATGCACATGTTCGTAATATATCAGCAACACAGGTTCCAGGTGAAAGTAGAGAATATTTACAAAACCAGATTATAAAGAAGGAGAGCGGGGGGAATTGTTCTTACCCAGTTAAATCCTTTTGAAAGCTTGGAGTCAACTCCAAAATAAGTTAATCCATATTTACTTTGCATTGCCTGGATAAAATATATTTTTTAAAGCGGTTGTAAAAACTCATTCCTGTTGTATTTTGAGTAACAGTTGAAGTATTAACTTGATCTATTCCAGTTCCTATGCAGTTAAAGAGTTTATTTTTCTTCATTCAGAAATCAATCCTCAGACTCTATCCCTTCAGTCCTGTAATGCAATATAATAAAAACAGATATTGCTACACCACTGCAATCAATGGAAGAATTCTGCTTTTGGTCCCTTAAAAGTCTTAACTTAAAAGGTGTAGCATATCATTTTAAATATCTTTAAAAAAACTACAAAGGATGCTACAAAATCAATCATTCTATTACTAAGTGAAATATGTTAAAAAAACAGCATCTATGTATTAATGAATAGTCAAGAAAATGTTTCAGACCATTTAACTTGTACTTCTCAAACAGTAGTGGTAGGTGGTCTTTATCAGTGCTAATCTGGTCCATCTGGTTAAACCACTCAGTAAACTATTCATAACCCTGTTTAAAGTGTATTTGTGCTTTGGTCAATACTGCCATCTTGTGGCCAAGTTTTTCAAGTTACACTAAGATAATTGGGTACAGCAGCAACTAAGTTTTATGTTCCTGTTAAGTAATTGGGGATACAATCTAATACTTCAATAAAATACTTGGAAACCAAGAACACAATGAGGAATCACATCAGTTTTACCAAATTTAACCAAGATGTTATGTGCAACCAATAATAATTTACAAGATGTACTTTGTTCTCATCTCCCCTGCAGGGAGACACTTTGATAACCGAGTGTATCATTTACCCGAAACAGCCGTACCAGAAATATAGCTTCGGTCTCTCAGGTTTCAGGAATTAAAAACCTTGACTAGTGGGAAAACTGCATGTCTTTACAAGTCTACTAGACTTTTTAATTCAGGAAGTAAACAGTGCTAACACAGCATAATTGTTCAGCTTATCACATCCCTTATTTTTTTACACATTGTTGTATTCAAAGGTTCATGTACAAGATCAGTTCACATTTTTGTGTCAAATTACTATAAAATATTCATATATATGATGTAACACACTTGAAACTAAATGAGCAGCTATAATGTGACCTTTAGCAAATAAACAGCAATAGCTGTTAAATGGCACAAACAGGCATCGCACAAAGTATTCTTGACCATCAAGAAGCCTTTATTTTATGTGGAAAAGAACTGCCATGTAAATCCAGAGTTTAATCTTCAATATATTTTTAGGTGCACAACAATTTCAATATTTTGGAAGTGGGGGGGTTGTCTTTTAGGATAGGGAGTCAAGTCTGATATTTTAAACATTTACGCATATAATAAAGGACACCATATTACCACAGTCCTGTAATTTTATTCTCAATTTGATGATAATGCAAATTGCACAAACAAAACCAACAGGACAACAAGGTTTTGAGGTTTTAAATTCTCTCTTCTGTACACTCAAAACAGTGACCTAGAACACCACGATATCCAGCATACACAAACCTCAGCACAAGGAAGGGGTTAGTAAGTAACACACAGGTCAGAATAATTGTTTTTTTCTTCCCTCCTCAAAAATGGAATGGTCCCACACAAGAGCACTGTATACAGCACAACAAAAGGTCATCTGTTATACATGGAGTGAACAAAAAGACACTAAATTTCTACACGGTTAATTGGAGAACCTGCATAGGCTGGGAAGGATTAAAATTCTTACTTTTAAATCATGTCTGTATGCATTTAAAGTAAAATTTAGAGAGAGCTACACAATTGTGTAGAATATATATATGGTTATTACTTTAGTGTTTCTTGTTTGTAGTCATGGAAGCGGCAGTCATATGTTCAAATATTAAGAACATTGTAGCTTTTCTGAATATACAATAATTAAATGCATTTACAGACAGACAGAACAAGCTGCTCACATACATCAAAATTAAGAGACTCTACATTAGTTTCTTCTCACTACAGAGTGCAAATCAGATGCTTCACAACAGATTTTAATTAAGAAGCAGACTCGCCTTTTACAAGCCCACTTTTACAAACAAACCATTCCCCTTTAAAATAAAAACGAGACAAAAAATGATTCTAGTAAATATGGAATGTGGAAAAATAAACTGATCCAATTAACAAAAATGGAGTCCTTCATGACAGTTTAAAACAAAACAAACAAAAAAAAAAAGAATAACTTTGCTTGTTTGTATCCCCTGTTGTGAGTCGAAGACCATAATGAGCTGGTGGAAATTTCATAGGAGAGAGAGGTGGACAATGCCAGGCCAAGTGCGTTACATGCCATAGCCGAAGCCAGGCTGGGGAGGGGCCTGCCCATAGGCCGCGGGCGCTGTGTAGCCGTAGCCATAGGCCTGCTGTGGAGGAACAGCGACACTGGGTCCTGCAGTTAGCATGAGCTGAGGTGTGCCTGCAAGAGAAAATGCATCTTTTTTTAGCATTAAAGCAGGTGGGTAAAAGAAACCATTATATCAGTTCACTATTTCCATGTCTACTGCCTAAGGATTTCCACAAGGAAATGTTTGTAGTATTTACATGCATAAGGATACATCCAAAACATGAAATGGCAGGATGAACCGAATGGTTTAATAATTGCTTCAGGTTTGTAAGCAGTGCATGGCAGAGCAAGTGGGGACAAAAACGCGTCCTACCATAAACAATGGGTTGCGTCTCCGTTGCTTGTTCCTCCTCTTTCCTCAGAGACTCGGAGGCATCAAGCTTATCGACCTGAAAAAAGGTGGAAAAGTTATTGGCATCTAACTGCGGGACATTTTTAGGAAGAACTGCTGGAAAAGCCTTAGCTGACCCTGTTCTTTTTTTTTAAAAAAAAGCTGATGGATAGATGGGACCATTCCAAGGAACCTGGCATACATTAAAGATCAGAAGAAATGCAGGATGCATGTCCTTCACTGAGAAGCAGGCACTGCCATTCATGGTGCTCTGCAAGATTTCAAACTACAAACCAAAGAAGGCGATGGAAAAAGCATTCATGAAAGCCAAGCTTCTAATATACTGCAACACCCTTGTTTTCAGATCATGTAAAGTAAGCTATTAAAATTATGATAGTGCTCTAACTCAGAAAACAGAGGAGAAAATGGTCCCACCATCCTGCCACAAACATGTATCAAAACTGTACATAGAGAACCAAACCCACACTGATAAGGAAGCTCAATGTATTAGAACCCTATCGAAACAGTGATGCAGCGGGGAATGTATAGCACTGTTTGGACCTCTGGAAAACATGAAAAACTAAATACATAGGCAACCCATATCCACAGCACATATCTGCACACTTTCAAGGGGCCAGTGAAAGAAAAATCATTGTGAATCAACGTGCAATGCAGCTCTATGTTTCAATATCTTCCAGACTATCATCGGATATCGCCTTTAGGAATAGGAATTACAGAAGCAAAGCTTAAAACAGCAGATTTGAGGAAATTGTTAGAGAAACACTAATATTTAAATATTCAAATAGTTTAAGTGGCAAGATTTGCCATTGTGCTAGCAAAGCATGAGAAGGTTACTGGTTTTGATACTTGAACTTCACATTCAAGTTTATTAACATATTACCTTTAAACAGCAGTGCAATTTTAAAACTAGCTACTACCTCAACATTCAAGGTTTAAATTTTAAATTAGCATTATTAAAAATTAATACAGAGGATTTAGCATTATCTTTCTTGTGATCAATGCCAAGCTAAAAACGGGTTCAGTTCCCTACATACTTCTTGTTAATTTAAATTTGTGTTAATGTTAAAAAAGGCTTTTTCCAAAGCTGTCACCAAGTTGCAATTTCATTGAAAAGGAAAAAAAACATGCTACTTATGTTACTTGTTAAATGTGTGCATGAAAAAGAGGCAAAGTACTGAAGTGAGAAGTGAGAGCTGAAGATGGTTTGTATAGTCATTCAGGCTTTTAAAAAGCACGCACAGCCAACAGCAATGTCTCCTAGTCTCTCAGAAGTGCTACTAATTGCTATTAAAGATCCACATGCTTGTTTTAAAAAAAAAAATCACACACTGCAGTTTTATTACCCATTTTTCACACACACGCTTTCTACATATAGGTAAGTGAAGGACCACAAGAACAGATGTACTTTTCAGTTCCTACGGAGTTCATTTTAACTACCAATGAACACTACCCCTCTGTTAAAATAATTTAGAAAGATTTTTTTACTCACTATAGTAAACATAAGACTAAGGATATGAATAGTATATTTTTTAAATGCTGAAAGCAAACCAATATTAGTTTTCTACAAACCCCTTAAGAGGAAAAATCCTGAAAAGCACAGAAGGGTTCACTTCACTAACCACAAGAATATATTCTGGCACAACGGTTTAGTACTACGGTTACATGCAGTCAACAACTGGTTCACAGTCATTAAAGACAGGCATCTTGACCCCTGCACAAAGAGAAGCATTTCAAAGCCACTTAAAGCCTTTACATGGTAAATCAGCCAGTGATCCTGATGCCTCTTTTGCGCTTACCTGTACAGATTCAGTTAAACATGGTACATGATGACTGTGAACCAATAGCAGACCGACTTTTTTCTCCTTACACTACAAGCTCATTAGTAACTACAGGTCTAGGGAGTGAATTTGCTACAGTTCTGCCTTGTCTAGGTCAGGTTTAGAGGAAACTCAAAAGGCACTAGTGAATGTGTCGTTTTGAAAGCAGTAGCAGTGTAACATGATAGAAAAACAACTCATGCAGTTTCCTGAGATTCAGTCCTCCAGACTAAAAAAAAAAAAGATGGAAAATAAAGAATCAACTTTCACCTTTTCCTTAATTGCATCAACCTGCAAGGGAATTCAGAGGCGCAGCTTAGAAAAATCAAACTCCATTACCAGCACAAAAAGCAGGTAGAAAGAAGAAAAACAGATGTGAAATAATCAGGGAAGTACAAACCATTACTAGAGAGAAAAAAAGGAATCGAAGATGAAAACAGTAAAGAGCCACCTTTAATACAAATGCAGTCAGTAAAAAATAGAATGGGTCCTACACTAACATGTTAATTTTGCATGCCAAATTAATGTTTTTTCTAATTTTCATGATTTTTAAATCCCTGTTACAAATTATGTACAGATTTCTAATTTTACATCTCCAAACACTAACTTTAATACATATTAAAATGAAATGTTTTCAGCAAAGTTTAGTTTTTTTTTTTACATTACACATACAATCAAAATACAGGTAGCATCAAAAAAGTTACTTATTTGATAAGTGTTTTGATACTTTCAAAGACCAAAGCATCAATTAAAAAAACATATCTAATATTTCCACTGAAATAGTGCCATACTGCTTAACTAGTGGCATTCCATAATGTTACTAATAAACACTGAAAACACAAAGATCAGAAGTAGCATACCTTGTTTCAATTTAAAAGCAAAAGCTTTCTAACAGCATCTCATACAAATTATCTTTCAAAAGTAGTATGACACAAAAGCAATATTAATTAAATATACGTAAATATATAATAATTTAATTAACCATGCACACAGAATCTTTCAAAGCAAAAGCTAGCTACACTTAACCAAAACTGAACTGTTCTCTTATGGCCAGCAACTCAAGACAGTTAGCTGCTTTAAACAATTTCTGATAATATGTTTAATAACGTAATGGAATGTGCAAGACAGGGGTCCCGCTAATTTTAATTTAGACCAAATGAGTGTGAATAGGAAAAATATTGCCTTTTAAAAAATAATCTTTTTGCTAGAAAAAAGTATGCAATTTATTTTGTGGCTCTGTCCCACATTTGTATGGAAAAGTAGCAATAATTAAGAACCAAAACTGGAAAAAAACAGCATGATTAAAAAAGAAAGCAAGCAGAACTCCATAAAAAAGATGGAAATTTGAGAGAAGCAGGAATGCCAAGATGTTATAGTTAAATTCAGAGGCTTAAGGAAACTTTGACTCAACAGAAAGCTTAATGGGTTATGAGGATTAAGTTTCCTAAGCACACCTGCATTCATGGGCAGCTGTATCTAAATGGGTTTGATTGGTTTCATTTGCTCATTCCCAATGAAGGCAAAACTGCTGAAAAATACGGAAAATATTTATGAAAGCTTCAATGCCAATTACTTCCATTTCCAGCCACTCAAAGGACAAGGTATTTTAGAATTCACCTACAATTTAACAAATACCATGCCATAATCACAAAATGTGATTATTAAATTATTAACTGAAAACTTACAAACACATAAGCAAGCTGCGGTGCAATTTACCTTAGACAGGTACTCCCTCATGACCTGGATGAAGTAGGGCATGGAGAAGTCCATGATGTTGTGCCTCCACGCAGTTTCCAAGACCACGTCAGGCCTCAGCAGGTCATAACAGGTGAAGAGGCAAGCAGCAAAGCATTCCTTCTTCCCCTCCAGCAGGAACCACTGTAGCAGCTCCTCTGCCAGTTCTGTGTCCTTCGATTCTGAAGCGTACTGCATAGCATCCTAGCAGCAAAAAAAGCACAGTGGTTTGGTGTCAAACCAGTACAATTCATAACCGCCTGTGAGCTGATTTGCTCAGCTTTGACAATGGATCAACAGGAACTGTGAGAATGCAGAAATTTGTCTAGATTTGTTATACTTTTACCTTGTACAGTTTGTCCTTCTTGCAAAGCTCCACGCTTTGTTTCCAGCGATTGTTGCCTTTGAAGAGGTACGCAGCGATTCTCCTGAATTCAATGAGTTCATGCTTCTCAAGGCGCTGAGCCAGAGAAATGTTGTCAAAGTTGTCATAAGCATCTATGGATGTACGGAGAGCCTGGAAAAGCAAGACATTTAGAAAGTTCAAAAAAACATTTTAAAAGACGCATCAGTTTTAGCTAATATTAGCAATCATTAGCATTTAGAACTGCTTGCCAAAATCTCTTATATTCTTGTTTAAGTGATGAGGTAAGTCCATCTTACCTGATAATCTTCCTCTGTGATGAAGAGATTGTTAAGTGCTTCATTAACTGCTTTGTTGTTGTGGTTCTGTACAGATCGCAGGTATGGTTTAACCAGCGGAAGCTGTTTAACCTGTTTGGGAGAGGGCAGTGAAAAAAAAAATCAATAAACTAAAAACCACTGATGACATTAACAGTGAAATAAATTTAAGACAAAAACTTGGTACGGTGCACATCTTTTGAGTATATCCGCACATGTTCAAAGAAGGATCAGAATGTTAGGGTAGCTTCTCTTTGCCCTAAGAGTGGTAAAAGTATGAAGAAAGGTTACCTTGGTGAAAAAGTTGACAGCACGAGTGTGATCGAGGCGGGGAGACAGCACCATAAGCAGATCATTCAGTAACAATGGTTTGAACTCCAAGTAAAACTGGATTGCTTTGTAATACAGCTCAACATTGGCCACCTACAAATTAAATGAAGAAAAAAAAAATCAATCCATACATATCATCCCTTATTCTGTTAAAATCTAGGTAACACAAATCTACAATATCCACCCAAGATGTTCTGAATCATAACCTGTGTCTCAAACTGTTGATTGTATCAAATTATATTTTAAATACAACAACGCATAACAAAGTATAAAATCACACAAATTCAATGATACCTTGGTAATGATGTCTTTAAATTGTCCCTCTTTCCAAGCATCTGTTGGATGGTTCATCATGGTGATGATAGCATTGTCATACTCTTCGTATTTGTCATACAGGAATACCAATTCAGCCCAAAGATGAGCCTGCTCTGCAGCCCTCAGAACCTGAAAAGAATAAAATGTAGAACTTTGGGAAAAGAGCTCTTCTTAGAGCTCACTACTATTTATATACAATTGCCATCTCGTGAGCAAAAACCTGTATATAGATGTAGAACATAGATAGAGAGACAATGGTCTATCAGCATATTTACGCACTTCAAGCAAGACTGATGATCCTATACTAATGCACAGACTTTATGCAATAAGACCTTACCTTTGGAATATTGACCCTGGACCAGAAGAGTTCCAGGTGTTCCCTCATCTTCTGTGGCTTAAATTTGGAGTAGAGGATTGCGAGTTCTGTAAACATTCCCATATGAGCTCGCTCCAAACCAAGGGCTGCTTCCAGCATGGTGATGAGCTCCTCAAAGTAGCCACGGTCCTAGAATGGTGAGAAAAAAACAGTGATATCACTGCACTGGGGCTCTTCAATGTGCAAACTACACATGAATAACATCTGCCCCAGTTGATAACAAACGAGGAGACAGTTTCAGGCCTACCTGGTAGTAGTTGATCAGCTCTTCCAGTTCATCAGCATGAACAACAATGTGAAGACCACACATCTGGGCCAGACGGAACTCCTTACCATCAACACAAGCAAAGCAAACCTAAAAAAGAAATTTGACAATTTACTACAGAGACTCCAGCTAAAGCTTGTATAATACTGTAGTTACAACAACATTTGCTAATAATAATCCTACCTCCTTCCATGTGCGAGTGCTATTAGCCTTGCGGGCCCCATCAACAGCAGCCTGGTACTCTCCTAGATGAACCAGGGTTGAAGCCAGGCGTCCAAAGTTGGAAACATTGTTATACAGCAGTTTGGCTGCATCATACATTTTTTCGTCATAGCACCGGTCCCCAACCTATATAAACAAAATTAAAGTTTTATTACACAAAACTAAGCCAAAAAAAAGTTAAGTGATACAGGAGACAGAGCCTTAAATCGAATTATGGGTACAAATTTATCAGTAATAAAACTAAAGATCTTCTGTATTCCTGTTATCATTCCTGATAAATTTAATTCACTCGAAACTATATTATAAAAGATTAGTACTTTGGTTACTTTATAGACTGAAATTTGCAGATTGGGCCCATCTTTGTGATTTTACCAAGGTCACAGAGCAGTCTGCTTACCACCATTAAAAAAAATGCCAGATGTTTTTTTAAAAGATTAACATCAACGCCCGCTAACGATATTAACAAGAATGTTAAGGGTACTTGAAGATTTTTAAGACAGCAAATGAAATGGCTTACTTGCTGGATGTGAGCATTATTGGGCCCGTTTATGAACTCCTCCAGCTCTGCCAAACGATTGGTTTTTGCCAATGCGAAGATTAGCTCAGTCTCCACGTAGGACTCCCTGGCTTTCTTGCGAGCCATCTGTAAGAACTTCACAAGGTCCTCCCAGTTTCCTGCAAACACATTTTTACAATCGTAACAGGTTCACTCCACCGGACACTAGTAAAGAGGCACAATTATTGTAGTTGTTTCTTACCACTCTGATCAGCTGCCTGCACAACCTCCATGTATGCTGAGGGATCATCTGCTTTAATGTAGGAGTCGATCGCTTCCTTAACCAAACCCTTCTGCAGCTGGGCTTTAGCAAGCTGGCTCCACACAGCCGGCTCATTGCAGCGTTCGGCGAACTCATAGGCACGATCTAGGTTCCCAATATGCTCAATTAGCACCTACAACACAGAAAGAATATAATGAGACGATAAAAATTAAAAGCAACAACAGCACCACCGCACAAGTGTCAGCAAGCAATTCGCTGGCTTACTTGAACTGCAGAAGTGTTAACGTCAAACTTCCGGAAGATGGCAAAGGCTTCTTCGAAGAGCTCATTGCTAATAGCAATGTTAGCAATGTCAGGGGCATCATAATTGTCCAGCCGATTGATATACTCCATCACACGAGTTCGGTCTGCTTTGATGGCTGTGAGGATGAGGAGGTTCTGCAGATTTCTGAAACCAAGCAGTATTTTCATTACTGGGTGCTCTCATTTATCAACAAAAAAAAAACAAAATATTCATAAGAAAGTACTTTACCTGTGCTCACTGAATACAGAGTTGTCCAAAACGATTTTCTCCAGCAGCTCAATGAGCTCATTAGGAAGATCTGCAGTCATGAAGGCCTTGACTGTAACCGAGACCTCCTCCGGGTCTTGTGTCTCAGACAGTGCAGTCTGCACAACCTGTAAAAAATGAAAAAAAGACAAAAGCTGCATAGTACCATACAGTGAACAATTTTCCAATCAAAGTGTAGGTTTCCTATCAATATGTACTCCCGAAGCAAACAGATTTTACGATTACAGAATTAATTTAATTTCAAATTCCTTCAAGGAAACCTAGCATTGTTTTCCAAAAGTGCAGTCTTACCTGATCAATAAGAGGCCTCCTGTATGGGTTGCTCTCTAATAGCACACTGGCCCACAGCTCAGGATCCTTGCGGCGAACAAGGTAGCGGGACAGACTCTTGAAGAGGGAGTTCTCATTGCAAACCTGCATGTAAAACAGATATTTACAGCTACTTTTCTGTAGGAAAGTACTTTTTTTTTTTAAACGCTGGTTAAAAAAAAATATACAGGCATATCCCAAACTGTTTAGCAAAAAGAAGTGCACTACCTAAAATATTTTAATACAAACCGAGTAATCTAGATCATGCAACATCCATTTAAATATTGGTACTAAGATCTGGTTTAGGTAACTGGATGTGAAAATAGTTCCCAGGAATCTAATAAAACAACCTTGGAACAAGCTTCAAGATTACTCACATGGATGAGTTCCTGGTCGCACTGTCCTCGCTCATAAGCCACACAAGCCAGGTGAGGATCTCTCTTCTCACAATATTTGCCTACCACACGGCTGTCATAGTAAGGGTTCTCGCGAAGAAAGCGCTCTGGGTTATTGTTGCTGTCAATGTAGATTTTGGCCAAAGCGTTATGGGTTGCAGGTTCTTCACAGCCTTCATGAATGCGGGCTTCCAACCAGGGCAGGAGCAGCTTTAGTCTGCAAACAAATGTCAAATAAACATGAGATAGAATTGCTTTTGAAGGCTCCCATGAGGCTCAACAAGTAAACGTGCACACTCTGAGCTCAATGGGTTCCATGATCCTGATGCTGCTGGTTTGACTCTCGGCCATATTATTTACTGACTGTGACTAGGGTTCCCTAAGTGGCAGCACAGAATTAGCTGAGGCCTGCAAGGGCAGGACTGGATCAGTCAGCCAGGCTTCAGCTTGCAATTTCTGGCAGAACAGCAAGTCCTGCAACTCGCCAGGCTTGCAGTGATTTCGGTGAGGAAAGTGACACTCCTGAAATCGGCGGGTCCCCCTCCTGTCAGACACAGCGATGATTTGTCCATGTCACATGACAAGTGACATAACATGTGGGGGTGTTACAATAGCTTGTCGATGTGCCTCATCCTCTCCCAAATAAGGTACAGGTGTTGCTGCCCGACAGACAACTAGTAGACAACTGCCAGTTCCACAGTGAGAACGAAAAACTTTTGGAATTCTAACTAATTCAAGTGGGTTCCTTACAATAAGACTAGAAATAAGTTACCTGTTTCGTTTTTCAACTTCAGCCACCAGCTCATCAGTTGAGAACTGACCCCTCACAACCAGAATAAGATTTTTAATGACATCCTCCGAGCAATCCACATCCAAAAGCCCACCAATAACCACAGGCAGACGGCTGGGGTTCACCTAGAGAATTAAAATAGGCCAAATATAATTTGTATTAATACTATGTGCAACTACATTAGGGTACATATGATTACCATCAATAATGGAAATGAATTGTTTTGGAAGACAATATAATCAAATATCGATCAACTACTATAATGAGGCATAGCAATGCCTCATTTAAAACACCAAATAGGATTTTAAGAACCAGCCTGATACATATTAAGACAATCTGATATCCTTACCTTTTGCACATAGATCTCAATGTATTTTTGCAGGTTGTTTCTGTACAGATAGAGAACCAAATCATGGACGAAGTCAAAGCGGTCACACACAATGATCAGTGGAAGTTGGTCAGTTAGCTTGGCCTCCTGTTGTAGAAAAGGACCAGGAGTGGAAAATTTTTTTTAGATCGATGTCAACAATAAGATTAAAAAATGAGAAACAGTCAAACCTGCATTATGGAAACACTTGTATAGACTATCCAGAGCAGGCAATACTATTCCACGTATTTTTAATGTCATTAGGATACTGTGGTCCTTATTAACAGATTTGACTGTACTCCATTGAGTATTGATCTAACAATACTTAATGTGAAATAATACACCAAAAATGAAACTAGCTGGTTATACTCTAACTGAAGACCCCTGTAGTAGTGATTCAAGATGACAAGCTATCGCAAAAGAAAAAAATGTTTCTTAACTACAACAAATGGAAGGTGTCACATTTCAGGGTTTAAGGATGGTTAAATACTGCAGACGTGTGTTTACTAAAGACTGAATAAAACAAAAAAAAATACTGAAAGGCTAACAGTGCAGCCTGTACACAGTCCAGCAGATAAACCTGCTTCACTGCTACAAACACTGTACACCAACACTGGACCACAATTTTTACATACCCTAAAATAAGACTTCTGGCACTGTGTAACTGCCATCAGTATTCAGCCAACAGGATTAATACTCTGGGATTGTGTGCCTCTTATAGCTATAATTTACAGGGTCAATTACAATTAACTTATTTCTGAGACCTTTGATGTTTCACTTGAAATAGTATTTATATTTAAAGTATTAGAAAATAAAAACAAAAAAGGTCTTACTACAGATAAAACTTCGAAAGCTATATGAATTTTGTTAACATAAATGCAACAGTATTGTGATTTAGGATTGACAGCAAGCCAGATGGGAGCCTTAAATTTCAGAATTTCCCTTATTTGAGAAACTTCAATGTGCAATTCAAAGGACTCAGACTGATCAACAAAATCTTTGTCTCAACACAAAAGGAAACTCTAAAAACTCAAACTGATCAGCATTAAAAAAAAAAACTTTACAACTGGCAAAACTAGCTTTATAAACACATGTTGAATAAAATGAATTCTGAAAATTAAGACTGGTTAGGATGCTGCAAACATCTGAGTTCTAAGGATGTGTTTCACACTAGCCTAAAATATGGGTATAACAACTTTTGTTTTCCTCTATTTCAAGTATTGACAAAACTCACAAGGCAGTCAAAACTTGCTTTCTAATTCTCAAAGTTAAATAAAAGTTAAGGGAAGATGCTTGAAATTTTCAAAAGCACTTGTACAAATCCCAGGTTTAATCCTGTATCTACAGAGGGATGGAAAAGGGAGGAAGTCCTATACTTGGGAGAATTACCTGGTACATGTCCTGCCCATTCCAAAGACACAGGGAAAAGCACAAAAGATAATAACTTCCATCAGGAAATAGTTTATGTACACTTCTTGTGAACAAGTGAAACATCTCAAGATCTACAGGGGACTTGCTTAGGGATAGCATTAGCAAATTCAAATCAAAAGGAAGATTTAGGCACGTATCGTAGATTGGTCGTGAAATATGTTTTTCAAATTTGTATTTTTAAAAACAAATTGTGCTCATTTTTTTAAAAACAATAATGCACATGCAATCCCTAAAAATGTTTGATAATGATGGTAAATTGTTACTGACAGCAAGTTACAACTAGCCAGTCAAAGTATCTCATAAACTTTCTACAAGACTTGATATAAAAAAAACTCAAGTTAACGCAGAATTTCACTAAACCCAGCAGAACAATCGGCACAAAGAATTTCAATCACAGAAGATAAAAGTAGAAAATGGTCCGAATTTCAAATCCACAGGTCCATATGCAATGTTTTCAGTAAAATTTCACTGTTCATAAGTAATTTTCAAATGTGTTGTCCGTCATAGTTACCTTCAAGAAGTTCTTAACACGCTCAGGATCATAGCAATTACTTTCCCTGCAGATTCTCTCCACCTCTTTGATTTGTCCAGTCTTACAAGCTGCCTGAATGTATTTAAAATGAACTTCTGGGTCCTGACTGAAGTTCACAATAGAGCCCAGGAAGTAAAATAGACCTGGAAAATCAAAGCCCTGATATTACAGTAACTGCACAAACAGGACAAACAAAACACTACATTTACCTTTATCTACTTTTACACATGATATCTTCAAAATCCTATTCCTGGTGATTGATTTTCAAATCAATTGCTCAAATAAGGCAGTTAAGATTTTTTTTAGCAAAATGTTGAAATCAAAGAAATCAAAAAGTTCATATTAATTACAAATTAAATTTGGGATTCATTATAACTAAAAGCTCAGATAGAGCAAAACTCAAAGCATTGACCTACATATTTTACCCAGGCTTCTCTGAAAGTTTCAGAAAACACAAATTGATGTTTCATCTCCTTTGAAAGTGACTTAAAGCTAGCACCCCACTTATGTATGACACCAATTAAGAAATGGTTTTACAGCTCAAAGCTGCAATATCAAACATATGTCTTGTTTGGTGTAATTAACAGTTTCACATCACAAAAACACTTGTGAAAGCATCCATGTGACACAACAGTTTAAATTATATATTCGAAACGATTAAGATGACAAAAGTACCTTATAAAGACTTCTTGGTAAAAATTCAAGATATTTTCAGCTACTGAGTAGTTTTTGCTTTTATAGAAAATAGGTAATAAGCTTAGATTTAACAGTGCTTTTAGGTATTCTGCTGTACCTTACTGACTACCTTGTACAAAGACTTGCAACCCATTTAGCATTTCATGGTCAAGTCCATTCATATTATAGAGTTCATTTTAATTTGCAAGACTGTAAAACAAAACCTGGCAAAAAGCAGGCCTGCTTCAAAAAGATAAAAACACTTGCTAGAAAGCAGATGGCAAACTGATGAGATGAAAGTCGGGAAAATAGAATATCTTACTCATACCTTCAAAACTCTTGAAGGACTCAAAGAGCTCAATCAGTGACTGAGTGGAGAGCTGCTCATGGTATTTAGATGCTACCTGAACACAGATTTGCAGGTTCTGCCGAATATTAGCAGACAGCATTGCCCTCAGGCACTCCAGGGAGTCCTCAACAGAAAGTGATCCAAAGAAATTCACCAACCACTGGTGGGGGAAGAGAAAATATAAAATTTTAAGTTAACCTAGTGGAGGATGTTTCAATTTCACATCTTCTAATTAAGGTAGAATGCTTTTCATTACCTCAGGATTGAGAAGATGAGTGTGAACTACAGCTCGTTTGATATCATACAGGTCTGTGTAGTGTTCCAGGGCTCGCTGTAACAGGCCAGCTTTCTCGCACAGCTGGGCAATGTGGGCCCGATCATAGTGAGTGAACATCTGGTTACCTAGAATAGCATCCGCCACCTAACAAAGTAAACATAATAGACAACTAAGTCATAATTTTGACATTTTAAAATGTAAAGGCAAAACATTTGTATTTAAAAACATTAATGAATGCTTAAACTGTAAATGAATTAGATGAATGAAGAGTAGTTTAGATGTCTTTCATGGAAGGTTTGCATTTAATCTTAAAAAGCAGAGGATTAGTAGTAAATGTTTCCATTTCCTCTTACCTGTGGTGCGTGCATGAGGTTCATTTCCAGCAGTCGGGTCTGGAGTGGGCCCTCAGATGGCCGATTGTTCTTCAGGGCATCAAGCAGGAAGGAAGTGCATTGCTGGATAAGGTTGTATTCCATGAACACGTCCACAATCTATTGGTGAAAGATTCATTGATTGCTTTAGGGGAAAGTTTCACAACAGCATAAAAGACTAAAAACGAAATCTAAAAAATTTAATCTTATGTGACATGTTATAAGGTGAAATGCAAGACCACATAATTAGAACAAATGATAAAGTTTTTTGCAACTCACAATATGATGGTTTGTAAAAAAGAATACAACTTTTACTTATTTGCCCCTCATGTTTCCACAGAGGGATATGACCCCATCTTAAAAACATGGCGCACACCTGTGTGATGTCAGCCAAAGGTTCCTCATCCTGGACCAGCATCTGAGAGAACTGCAGTCCTTGTTCTGGGCTGATCCTCATTACATTCCTCAGCAGGAAAATCCAATCAGGAGTATATCCGACCTGTGCAAGACACAAAAAAGGGTACCTGAATCACAAAAAACTGAAGGCACTTTTCTTTAAAGACTTTAATGAATTAACATAGTATAGTACATTTTCACTATACTACCAAAAATGCTGGGTATTTGGGAATAGATAACTTTATACCCAATAAACCAAAGCTGAATTTAGATGTATACAGAGTAAATTCTAATACACACATACTTATGGCATTTATGGCAGCTATCAAATACAAAGCACTGTGAAGTTCAACAAAAACCTTAAACTGATGTCAATGAAACAACCTGCCATAAACAAAACGACACTGTAAAAATGCGTTTATATAACCTTAACATTCACAGTAATCTCTATTAAGAAACAAACCTTCTTAGCATACAGAACAATCTTCTGGAACTGCCCAGTCTCCGCAAAGCACTGGATGACCTTATTAGGAACATTTGCCCTCAGGTAGACACTGAGGGCGAGAGTCGGGTCCACTGACTTCACAAGATCCCCCAGCTCCTCTGAGCACTCCAGCTGCATTCAATGGAAAAAGGCACTTAATTCCAACACTATAATGTGGAAGTTAAAAAGCACTTAAAAAACTTTTTTTAATCAAACAAGCTTCTGTGCTATAAACCCACTGGGTTATTTCCTAAAGTGTGTCTAGGCTGCCTGTCAATTGTAATGCCCTGCAGTTTCACCACTGGTCTTCCGTGTGACTGGCGAGCACTGAGAATTAACTCACACAAGATCCCTTATTTAAAGGCTTATTTTTCTAAACAGTGATTTTTAATTTATATAGCACAGTATTACTCACAAACTTTAATTTTTCTGAGATTACCAATAGAGCGGCTGTATTTTGCTCACCTTGTCCTCCTTCAGCCATTTTTCCAGCAGTTGTTTGCGGCCCTGTTGCAGGACAGGTCGACACAGCTCCAGAGACTCAAACTTGTTAAGCTGCCCCTGGTCTAACAGGATCCCAAAATACTGGAGCAGAGGAGAAGTCTGTCCAGGCTGGGCAGGAACGCTTTGGAATCGGCGAATAGTGTCTGGAGTACGCAAAATTCCCTGAAAGACATAAAAAGTGACTATATTTGAAAATGTTTCTCTATACCAAAAGTGTAAAGCTTGTTTTAATCACAATTAACTATTCTAGATTCCCACAATAAAATACAGTTTCAAATAAATTTAACAGATGAACATATACCATGCTTCAAATAACTTAACATTTATATCACCTATTCGAAAAAGGATAGATTCACAAACAGTAGGCTAACCTTATCATACTAGTCTATCCAATAAAGACCAAAAGAGGGTCACAAAAACAAAGCTGTTAAGAAAAGCAGGTAAACTGATCGACTATGACAAAGACAACAGAGACGCTGGGAAATATCTTAAAACTATAATCTATTTCCCTGTCACAACAAAAACATGCAGACGGATCCTTTCATACCTTTGGTGCATTTGCTGCTACTTTTGCAGCCTCTGAGTAGTTGCCTCCAGCAAAGAGGTTGTTGAACTTGCGGGCAAAAAGCTCTTCTGCCCCGGCCAGGTTATTGCGAACAGCCATGCGAAGAGCAAGGTCAGGGTTCTGCAGGACGTTGGTGATGTACGGGATGATGTTCTCCTCCTCAACACACACGGACAACACCTGCAATCCCAAATTAAGAGTCCTACATGAAGCAGCTACTGAATCACTGTAGCAATACCATTTCTGCACTCTCTTCTTAAACAGAAAGCACCTCTGGAACGATTTCTATTCAGAGAAAATTAAAACACACTTGTATGCATGTAAACAAATAAAAACACTGGCAAGCTCAAGGCCCCAGTTTAGTATCATTAGAAAGACTGCATGTATTGAAATTGAGCACTGATGACTATATGTTACAAGCCACTTTTTAAACACTACATGGAAATGAAAACTCTAATTGAGACTGGTGAAATGAACCACATTTCACATTGGGTCCGGCAGCTCTACGTCTCTCACGTTTGAGCCCCTTTTCAAATTTTCTATATGTTTTGTGTCATTTGATACAGATGCAATGTTAATTATACTTCACTTTTAGTAATAAAAAAAATATTGGATGATAATTGCTATTTTAGGATCAGTTTTCTTTGTTTGTAACAGAGACATCACTTAAAATGAAGTTAATACAAAATTCTCACGTGTTTATTGCTGTAATTACTTCTAATGAATAAGACTTTGTAAGCAACATTGCAAATGTAACAGAACTTTTCTGTTATATAAAATACACAATATGAACAGATTTATTGCAATATCAAGTTTGAATGAGATTAAGTGATCATTTCTGAATGACTGAGTCTCATTTCTCATTTTCTGTCTTTCACTGGCAATCATGTCAGCGACCATATATTTACAATACATGGCCTCTTTCGAAGCTTTTGCGCCGTTATGACACCGTCCTTGTGGAAACCTTTTCACTACCCCCTGCAGAGGCTGAAAAATGACACTGCATGGCCCTGAGTTTCTCAGAAATTCACATGAGCAACTCTTGTCTGACTTTGGTTACTTTGACAACACTGTTCAACTAGAACTCTTACAGTATTGGCCCCCTCTCAGGAAATAGTTTAGTGTCCTGCAGTGTTGGAGGAAAACCACCATGAAACCGCTGCAGCTACAACAGCATTCCCAGATGGTTCTCCCTAACTGGCCAAAACACAAACAGCAATGCCATTCAAGGATAAATCAACACAAGCAAACCTAAATTTCAGACTTTAGCTACTCAAAGAGAAATGCATACATTTTAGATTTAATGTCATAACAAAAATTTACATTGTAGCTTTGGTAATGTTTTAAGTATAGAAAGATTAAAATTCAATACAACTGCAGAAAATTGATATTTATTATACTGCATAAAAACCACCTTAAACAAAAGAGTTAACTGGCAATGCAATAACCCTGGAAATCATTACTACAGTAGGGGACAGGAGTAATGCCTGAGAGAAAAACACTCAACATTAAGAGTCAAGAAATAAGAAGCTGGTAGGACTGAAGATGAAAAGACAGAAAAGAATATAGAAAGTGTTTTGCAAAGGATTTATATTCCACAACAAAAAAGGAAGGAGCATTAAAGGGGGAAATGCTACAATAACCAGATTAAATAAAAATGAAGCAGAGACACTCAAAATAGCCAACAGAAATTTAGTCTTTAATACTATAAACTGTAATTTACAGAAAGCATTCTATGAGCTTTTGTAACAGGAAGCTTCAAGAAAAGAGCACCTATTCTTCAGAATACATGTTAATACCTCATAAGAAGACTGAACACAAATGAGTAAAACTGAGTATTATCTGTTCAGCATAAAAAGAACAGACAAAAGGGATAGGCGACTTGAATTTACGCCTAAAGGAGATGAGCAAAACTTTATTTTGTTTTCCTGGCAAAGCAGGTTGTAAACTGGAGCTCGCATCGGTGAAATATGACAGGAATCAAACATCTTACGAGGCGCAGATTGAAAGGAGTAAAGATGTCACACCAGCTGACTCAAAGCGAAGGCCCAGGACTAAGCAGATTAGGATGCCTGCCACTGTCTCCCGCTACGAGTCACGTGCTGTTTTCAACTGCAGGCAGCTCTGCCGCAGATATTTTCAGGGATTCCATTATCCCAAGGTCGTTTCAACCCACCACGTGCCAAGCACTAACACATCAACGAGAATCATGCAATTCCATCAAGCTTTTCTGCAGGGACAAGTGAAGATTCTGTGCGTCTCCAGCTTTAAGCTGCACTTCCTTTAAAGTCTGTATTTATGTCGTACAGTTAAATTCTCAATAGATTTCTGGCTAGCTGTGCAAGGCGGACATGGAGTTTTAAGTGTGGAGCTATAACCAAGTATGAGCTGCAGAATGTAATTGCAAGCAAAAATGAAACAAGAATAATTTTAGCAGCGTAGCAGTCAGTTAAGTACACAATGTTAAAATGACAGTTGAATCTATTCTGCCGTATAACATAATTCGATTTGAAGAAGCTAGGGTTTAAAATTCAAACAAGTGGTGAATCACAAGAAACCAACCCACTGTCGCAAGTCCACATCATGCTGTGGACTGATTTTGCAATTCAGCCCCTGTTCACTCTCTGAGCACCCTGCCCTTGTCAGGATCAGCTTTCCATGTGCTAAATATTTAATGGTCACCTGGCTTTGTTAGAAAATTATTAATCAGCTGGCAGGATCTGGTATCCCTATATAATGAAATCCAATAAACCTGTCTTTTAATTCTACCTATAGACCTTTTTTCTATTTCAGGCCATTTATCACAATTCTACATGTAATATTTATTAGGTTTTGTGGAACTACACTTTTTATATCCTCTCATGCCTGCACAAAGTAGTTAACCTTTTAAAACAGCCTTTAGGTCACTCAGTCTAGTAACAAACACAGTCAACCTGTAGGAATTGTTGTAGGAGTGAAAAATTACTGAAAATGGTATCGAACATAAACCAGACAGACTGAACATTCTGCAGACAATTAAACTAAACTGATTGCTTTTATAAACTTCAACAGGGGTGTCTTGTCAGAGATAAGCCATTACCACAAATCATAATCTCAACAGAATACCAACGACACCAAACTTTGTTGACTCTGCATGTCAACAAAAGGCTCTTCTTTACCAATACACCACACATCTAACAATGCCACTATTACACATTTGGAGCTTAAAGAAAAACTACCTGTCCTTTCCTGTTGACACCAATGATGCCAGATGTTGCTTCATGTGGGGCTGTAACAAAGATGGTCTCTCCACTGATCCTGTTCATATAAATGCAGGTGCCGGTTTCCAAGTCATAAAGGTGGATATATCCATATTTGGTAATGAGAAATACAACATCTTGTTTGGCACTTATCTAGATGGAGAAAGAGCAATAGAACAAGTTTAACAAAAGATGGTTTTCAAATTTCAGTTCGAGACTGGGCTTAAATAAACATCTTTAACAAGTCTAAATGCAACCTCCTCACTAAAACAGAATACATCCACCACTTCATCGTTAAATTTTACACTAGGTCACTTTGACAAGCTTAAAAAGGGATTAAGCCCATTTCTATTTTTTCCCCGCTATTAGAGATAACTGTAAAATAGCAATAAAAAGGACAATAAAAACTGTTTGTTGCATCTGTTCAAATCGTTTTCTACAGCAGAATGTTACACCTGGCTTGGGTACAGCAGAAAGCTCCCCTTGTCCACCTATAGCAAGATTAGCAATTTGTACCTGCATTGCAACAGGAAAGTCATTCTGTGCCTCTGGAGGGAAGAACACATCCACTGCTTTCTTTGGAAATGGCTGATTCCCCGTAGGTGGTGTTCCAACTTCAATGATGTGCAACTACAAGGAAAGAGGAAATTCAGAATTCCTGCTACAATTCTACCTCATTCAGCAGTCCTGGATGTTTTTCATATAAAAGGAAGGGCTCATGCTTCAAAGATCATACTTCATGCATATTTTTTTACACGTCTTCTTCAACATGAAGATGAAGACAGAAGTCTAAACTTATGAAAACCTAGTTTTCCATACTTTAAGACTTCCTGAATGCTCTCAAATCTTACCTTTCCTCCCGCTTGACCTCGCACAGCAAAGCAAAACAGGGTGGATTCTTCAGCGTTTCCTTCCATTTTAAACTGAGCAAAGCCAGCTGCATGTCCCTCAATGGGCTGGGAAACCTTCCTATCCACGGAGTAAAGCTGCATCGCTCCCACAACACGGTTTTGCTATAATTGATAAACAGTCCATATGAATGACTGATACGATCCAGTCAACCTTCATTACACGTCCAAAGAGTTATGGACTATGTTTACTACAACCAAAAAAACAAATAAGAAAGACACACAGAACTGACACATAATATGAGACACTGGAACCTTTAAAAAACACAGCCAATTTCACTTGCACAACGTAATGTTTCAGTTATAAAATGCTTACTGAAATAAAATTTAAAACTCAAGTTTTACTTTGACCATGAATGTTTCACACAGCCTTATTAGAACTTGGGTACCTGTGCAGAAATGCCAATGAGCAGGAGCCACTTCTGCTTGGCATCAGTGCGGTAGTTGATTATCTGGCAGCCTGCAAGACTCGAGTGCCGATCGAAGACTTTAACTGGCTGGGAGTCTCCCTCCATGCTCCAGTGATAGACGGCATTGTCTGTCACTAGTGCAACCGTGTTCAGAGAGATCCACTTCCAAAAGGTGACATCATCTGTCATGGTGTGGGCCTTCATCTTGCTCTTCATCTCAATGTTAAAAATCTGAAGGGTCTTTGCAGCTGAAAGTCATGTAATAACAACTGTTAAAAGTAATAGCACACAACAGGACTAACTGAATAAAAAAGGACAAACACATACAAACAATAGATCTGACTAAAGAAGATACCAAATTCTTACTTGAATACCAAGAGTCAAGCTAGAAATACTGGGAGCCATGGTTGGGTATGCATCAGGCAAGGCACCATGACTCCAGATTGCACAGCACTTTATAGTTTACCTTTATCAACAAAAAGCACAGCAAATGTTTATAGACAACTATTACATTCTAAAGATCTGCATTCAGTGAAACGATGCTTATGAGGCACATCCAAATAAAATGTATAGAATACATATGACAATCTATTGAAAAGTTTGCAATTAATGTTATGTTCTCAACTGGTGACTATCAGCATACAGACTCACCTGAAGCTTACAACTCCCTGCCTGTTAATTGAACAATTACTCATTCTTGTGAAACTTTTATCAGGAATTCAAGACATCTGAGTTTCTGAACAATTATGTATGCTAAGACACACCTTGGAAAAAAAAACTTTACCTGCTGAAACTACAAGATCTAAAGGAATTCAATTCCAAATATTCTTCACATTTTCTGTCATATACATCAACACATTACAAGATTAAATGCATTTCAATAGTTAATCAGATCTCACCATATAATTTTCTGTGACTTGGTTTAATAAATTTAATGATTGCATGTGTGCATGTGATTATGTTTTCCCTCAAATATTCATATAATTTATTTCTACAAACTTTAAGGTCTATATCATTAAGAAAACGTAATCAGACTCCAGTCTGAATGCAGATTGAATGAATAAACAACACAAAACACTTTCACAGAGATGGAAATAGCTGTAAATCCTGGGGTAATATAAAATTAAGGGGAGTTAATTGAAGGAATTAAGATGAATAAATATTCCAGAAAGGCATACATTAATTAATTTAACAGGGGCTTTCATCCAAAGCAAAATACATTTGTATCTACATATATATTGGGGTACTTTACTGAAGAAATTTGGGTGACTTTAAAAGAACATTTTAGGTAAACATGAGCAAAGTGCTTTCATATTTTTAGGAATAAAAGGGTTTACCTATTGATCTGACAGAGTTACAGAACACAGATCACAATTAAATACTAAAAAGCTTCTGCTGCTGTTGTATTACACCTCTATTACAAATGCCAAATGCAAAATCCATTGCTACCAAATCAATTTTTTAAATAGCATGACTTAAAAACTAAATATAAATATTACAGGAAATGGACTGCAGCTCCATTTTAGAATTTTACATCACCACTAAGTACAGAGCAGATCAGGCTTCATAAGAATTATGATCTAAAACAGAAAAATGACTGAACATTTGATCTTTTCCCAACTGGAAGGTCCAAGGGTTTAGATGTAAACCAACTCAAAGGATCATGGGAAAATGGCAATCAAAATAATTTACATGAATTACATTTCCATCCCAAACAAATATAAAGATCACTTGTACAGCTAATCAACTTAATGCCAACATTCAAGCTATAAAAATTGTGAAAGTTAAATCCTGCTTAGTTGTCTATTTCAAATTTAAGTAAGCCTGCGTTATAATAATGACACCCTGTCAAGCATTTCTCAGACATTTATGGTTAGCTAAACACATTTAACTCCTTCAGTGATGACAGCAGTTTATAACTGTTCAATATATGTATGAGAGTCATAATTCGATTTTTTCAGGATTTTAATGCTTGTGGTAATTTCCCACATGTGTAGAAACAGTTGTTGAAGATGGAACCATTTTCCTGAAAAAAAGGTGCTTACAGTAAGCTTCACATGCAAGAAGGACCAATGCTGTTATCCTTATATGACTCATTTATCATTCGGTCTTGCTTAACTGTCAAAACATGCTAGAGTATCATAACCAGTATAATCCATCTTTATTGCATTTAATTAATAATAACCTTGTAAAAAGGCAAACAGTCTTAAAAAATAATTTCCAAATGTTATTGAAAAAAACTCACTAGACCTTCAAGAAAACAGACTTCAATAGCCTTGACGGTTCTTGGCCAAATCCAGACTGATAAAACTCCAAACAAAAAACTTAGGAGATTGTGATCTCAGCCAAAAATAGGTTTAAACTAGAACGTAAAAGCTACCACAAAGAACTTTAATTACCACTGCAACATAATAACAGAAACACTCAAGCAGTATAGAATTTTGTGGACACCACTACAGGTTGGTGTAGTGAAGGAGAGGTCAAATTAAAGGGCTTAGATACAATTTGGAGTCTTCAATCATGTATTTAGCAACCATGCCCAACCAATTCCCCTAGTCCTGTTGAGATGCAGGCATTATTTGATTGCATATTTTTACTCTTCAGCTTGTCATATATGCACACAACCTAACCAATGTGTATCTGAAATATGTCTACATTTTTTCTTAAACAGGAATACAACTTCCACAATTTATTGTACATAAATTTTAACTCACCGTCTGCATATGCATAAGAAAGCAGGAAACAAAAACAAAAAACAAAACAAAAAATAAAAAAAGACAAAGCAATTATGACAGAAGGACAAAAAATTCAAATTTAACTTAAACTTTCATAAAGGTATAATTTTGACTAAAATGAGTTGCAAGACAAGTCTATATTGTGCCAATCCAAACTACTTAAGAAACCAAAATAGAAAATAGCTGTACGTGAGCACATAAAAACAGGGTGCAGCAAAGACAAGAGCAATGCTGGTCTCAAGTTAAAAAAATACATTTAAAATACACAATGTGAGATGTTGATTAAAATAACTTGTCTAATATGTTTAATGAAAAAATTAAATGGTAGACAGCTAAGTTTTTAAAAAGGTGAACTTTGCAAAATAGTAACAAGCAATGAAAAATGCACCACACACTGTAAGGTTTAAATAACTACATATAAAACAATCAATTTTATGAATAATTACATAAGCCTAGTACATTATTGTACTTGGCTAAATTAAAATGCAAAGACAGCACTGGGTACAAATGCAGTCCTACCTTTCAATGCGATGACTTTGCTGGCAGGGTTCATGATGGCACTGTCAGCGGAGATAGGACGGCGAATTGGGTTGTTGGGATCGTTCATGTCGATGATGACCACCTGCGCCTGCTCCCCGACTTTTTCCCGGATGCAGATGAACTTGTCCGACTCCATAGTTAGGGTGCTGAACCCAATGTTTGCTGGGTTGATACCCAGGTTTTGGAGCTACAGAAAAAGAAAGAATGGATCATAATGAATTCATATCTCCTTGGATTATTTTACAAGCGTCGACTGTGCGATTGTAAGAGGGAGTTCAGCTCCATATCTTCTCATGAGAAGAACTGTAAAGAAACTCATTTGGACAAGCACAAGCCTAGGCAGCATATTTAACATTTTCCAAGGTCCTGTAAATCTTAAATTCATTCCCGATACATGAAGGGACACATTAGACATGCTATCAATTTATGTATCCATCACAAAACAAAATTTACAGTCAGGTTAATCTGGAAGCCACCCAGAACAGAAAACTGCTGCCTATCGGCAGGTACTCAGGTGGACTCTCCAGGCTGCAAGGTCCAGAGAGCAACAGTCATGATTATCTAACACATCCAGAACTCCACCTGGCAGAGCAAGGGTGGACAAGGACAAGACGATGATGCTTAGTGTTAAAAGTAAGGATTGTGGTTATGGCCAAATACTGCAGAGGTGTTAACAAAAAGGGGAACAAAATGGAATGGCACAGAAGAGGAAACACTTAAACTTACAAAAAATCTGATATGCTTTAAAACAAAGAGGACTACTAAAAGGAAACAGTTTCCGAGGTGAAAAAAGCATTCGAAAGCTGCTGGATATGAAGAAAAGAACGTGCTAAATACAGATCTAAGTCATTTTTTACATCACTTACTCTTCATCACAATGAACTTGAATGGCTTTTTTTTGGGTGTTCTGGTCGTGCTTGATAAGGCTAAGTAATACATAGCTGCCCCCATGATACTACAGTGAAGAACACGATGAGTTAACCCCCCAAAGATCACAGGCCTGCAGGACACCAGATTAGATACTATGACAGATGCTTCTGAGGCAGAACTCAACTGTAACGTCCTTCTGTTAGGATACAACTAGTGACAGGTCACCTTCTTTGGCACAGAAGAATGAAAACCAGAACAGCAATGTGTGTTTTACATATACTACCCTGTACAGATACTAGTTTATAGCATATGAATTGTCCGCCTTGATCCCTATTGTTCAGATTTGCTTAAATTAATTCTGGGCAGAACCAATAAAGGTAAAAAGCAGTCACCACATGCAAAATTGCATCCCATAATTTAGGAGATATTCAAGTTTTCCTTATTTTGAAAATAAATCCTACTAAAGCAAACATGATTAAATGTATTTTCTATAGGCAAATCAAACAATGGCCACCAAAGAAACATGGGTGTTATACATTTTATACCCAAATATCTTAGCCAAGATACCTACTGTAACAGTCTGCCAGAGCAAAGGCGGAGCTCTGACCTAGGCGTTAGTCATCTGGGTTTGTCGACTGTTTGCTATTCATCAAAATTAAAGTTACCTGTGGAGATCTCCATGACGCAGGTAAACTATGAAAATTACTAATAAGCTGTCATTATACTAAAAAGCATCCAAAACCAGCTGCTTTAGATAACAGAATACAGATATGCGGTAGTGGGAAATTAAGATTTAAATTGAAAACATGCTGAAAGAGGTGTCATACTTTACACTAAAAAATAATAAATTATGACTATCACAGGGAAGCACAGAAGGCAATATTACCTGTACCATAAACATCTGCTACACCTATGGCACTCAGTAACTAACCACCCACTTTACATAATATTTTATGGCAGTGAGGGATTTAGAGAATAAAATGTCATGACATATTCCATACAGTATTGCCATAACCTTTTAAAATGTATACACTATGAGCATGAGAGAAACTTTAAGAGTTGAGTCTTCTCAAATTCATTCATCCTGTAGTACTTTAGGGCATTGGTGCCCCAAATGTCTAAGTGATATCACAATGTTCATTATGTGCCACAGTCACTGTTGCCTAAAGGGTAGGTATGACATTATGACTGACTGCTAAAGAAGTCCGAGTCTATTACTCCATTTTGAAATTCTGAGTTGGATAGTATTGTTCAAAGATGTTCAGAAAGGCGCTATATAAATGTATTAAATTCAAATATAAAAATACAGCACACCGAACACAAGAGATCACTACTCTAACACATTCTATTGGTGGGCATTCCTGTGTCTAATGCTCAAAAACTGCAAAGTAACACTCATACAAAACATCTAGGTTTTACACAAAATAAATAAAATAAAGGAAAAATGCAGGTGGAAATAGTGCTGAATACAGAGGTGACAATTCCAAAGCAAATTCTGCTTGCAGAACAAGTGTTGTGGATTCACCTGCAGTGAAATTGCACAGGATTAAAAAAAAAAACTCCCGACGCCACATGTAAAAGTCCCTTAGAAGTACACATTAATATTTTAATACTGCATTTTAAGACAACAACCTTAATTAGGTCGCATTTGTGAAACGCAGAGAAATGGAGGTTAGGTTACCCCATTAAAGTTTAGGCAGAATACCTCTTTTGAAAGGCCTTTCCATATTAACCTGTTCTGTGCTCCTTGTGTACACACACACACAAAAAAGAGAACCACCAAATTTTAGTCAGCTAAAACAAACATACTTCTAGGCAAGGCTTAAAAAAGTGTCAACTTGGCAATCAATAGAACTTAGAGCCTCACCCTTACTCCACCCACATTCTTCCTGCTCCTTATAGAGGAACATGCGAAGGAACACGTCAACATTGCATGTACTACTCTCACTGCTTCCTTGGCTATCACTACAACACAAGAGCATAACTGCAAGGTAAGAAAAGAACATTCAGATCAGACCCACTCTTTAATGGAACTAGATTCTCTTGACACTTACAGGAAAACAGTATTAAGTAAAATCCAGTTACAAAACCATGCTAGGTCTCCACATGTCTACAGCTCTAAGAAAGAAGGTAAATATGTATTCGGTGCTAAAAATCTCCATTATTCATTCCCTAAAATGCACATGTATTAAAGAACATAGCTGTTTCAGTTCTCTACAACCTTTACATCAACCAGGACTGTCTTTGTCGTCAATACAAAAACTTTTTGCACTTTCCCAAAATCAAAAAAACATACTATTGCCTAAGAACAACAGTCTTTAGCAAACCCTCGTTATATAATTTTCAAGTCAATTTTAAGACAGTTAATAAAGTGCCTTAACAGAGGTATCTTTTATGTCCAAAACAAATCACCATTTACCAAGAGCTTGTTCCTTTACAATGCCTTCAGTTTTAAAAGAGACCACAGGGAAAAACTATATTACAATTTAAAACGTTAAGCAGCAAAAACATCAATTTTACAGCAGCACCGTAGATTACACAGAGCTGTATCCAAGCAACAGCAGCAGTCAGATTTACCATAAATAATCCCTGCCTTTTCTTGCAAAGAACACCATCTGCCAAAGATGCTGATGATATCACACATAACATCACTGTGACGGCACTCTCTTTGATTGGCTGGAGGGAATCCCTGCCCTTAGTGACATTTGCTTGAGGGAATCCAGCAGCAAAAGTAATACTCACTGATTAAGCAAGAACAATATTACAAGGTTGCAAGTGCTTGGAGCCAGTAGTGATTCACTGCAAATCCAACTGCTACATAAAGAAAATTACTCGGCATGCTTCAACGAACTCTAATTGCAATACTACAATGCTTCTGTTGAAAATAAGTCTTATTAAATATCACAATAATATTCTATTGTGATTACAGAAGAATGTATACATCCAGATTCTCCCACTTATGAGAAAAAAACATTCATAAAACGTATTTTGTTAAAGTGACCCCAGGATACTGTGCTACAGGAGATTTAATCCTTCAGATGAGATATGAAAGTGAGGTTACTGGCTATTTCACCATTAACAATCCCATTGGAATTTTTGAAAGAGTATGGGCATGCATCCCAGTGTTCCAACTAAACTCAAATAAATTATCACTTAAATTCCATTTCTAAAGTAATTTCCCACTTCTTTGCCTAATATATTGTGTGACAGCCCTATTACACATTACCCAAATTAACACTTTACTTCACTATAGAGGTAAATTCTAATTAAACTAACAGATTCCATGGATGTTACAGCTAAAGTAAAAGTATCTACTCAGATATTGGACAACAGAACATGAATCTGGTTAACCTTCAAGCACACAAGTGCATTCCAAAGTTTAACACTTCAATCACTCTTGAAAAAGGCACCTCGTCAGCTAAAAACCACAACGACATTTCTAAGTTCAATGTACAAGGAAGGATGTTAAAATGCTGAGGCTGCAGCCCTCCACTGCAACAGTCCATAACAGGAAGCCAGCCATTGTTCCTTTGGTTAAAACAACACTTTCACGCAGGCTCAGTTCAATCATGTGACAGCACACATGACAAATGTATAGAAATTCACTCCTGAGAGAATTTTGAGAAAGTGATGATTTTGTGGTTTGCAGATTTCTTCGGAAGCACATCTGAGGTTGTGCCACATACAATAACCTCAACAGTCAAGTCAAGGGAAAAAATTGTTCCAAAAGGCATCATAAGGTAACCAGGTAAGAGACCAAAGTTACACTACTAAGGAGTCTCACATGATCTGTTCACATCATATTCCATTCCTGGAGATCGTTTAGGACTGCAAGAAAATGCATATGCCTAAGCTGGACCTTGGCAAAGGAAGGAAAGATGAGGTTAAAGCCGTCTCATCTTAAGATTTAAACAATTAAATGGTACAAAAATTACAAAGTTACTTAATATTATATGTGAGCTACAAAAATCAGGTAGTGGTATTACTCACATTTAAAAAAAACGTTGAAGATAACAAGTTAGTTTTTTTAACTTTGGATAATAAAATCATACAGATGACAGACAGTAGAACATTTTACATATGTTACAAAAAATTTATCATCAATGTAAAATGTTCTGATGAAACTAACACAAAAGATGTCTAAAAAAATGTACAAATCACCCCAAAGGAAAAAAAACTGAAACCTCCCACTTTGTTGTTAACATAAGACATCCATATCCGAGCAAGATTAAATGAGAAAAATCTAAGCACTCTACTAGCTCGGGCTGCCACATAGTTAAATAACTTTCTTTTCTTCACTTTCTGTATGACGCCTTTCAGTTGGTTACACAGCCATCTGCCCCAGCCAGTGCCCAAATCTAAAAACCAGGCACATGCTGAGCTGGTGATGGCAAGAGGGATTTCTTTACAGTCCCCTTCTCAGCATCCTTATCCCTGGGTGGCAGCCAGGAGCTGTTGGACCCTCCCTCTTGCAATGTCAGATACAATCAAGGCCCAGGAAAAGATGTGAGGAACTTCCAGGCCAGCAGTGGGCTCATGAAATGTCATCCTGTTAGGAATGATGCATTATTAATAGCAGAAAAGGACATTGCCAATATGTCTACTGAAAAGCACATCAGATGTTTTTTGTAGTTTTAAGATATTGGAACCATTCTTCACATAATTACAGATTTATCACGTTACGATCACTATACAGCACTTAAAAGCCTCTGTAGGGGAAATAACTAAGGATGCTGCAAAAGGTCCTTTTCTAAAACACAAAGACAAAGGAGAATCATTTTCCTTTAAATGTAATTAGCAATAATGTTTTAATCAAAAACTGAAGATTAATTTAGCTTTAAAATGACAAGAAAATTTAAATGAGCCCCACAAAACCCCATTCATGGAGTTTGTATCTAGAGACATGATATGTCCACAGTTTCCCTTTGGGCACCTATCCAGCAAAATGACCTTGACATTCCCAGCAGAAAAAACATTTGCCTTTTTATAAATGGAGGCCTCATTCTATTTTAATCACAAAGCAATCAAGACTAACCCACATTGCACATCAAAGGGTTTTAGTCACACCAGCAAAATATACAATGGACGCTTCACATGGAAAAAATAAATAAATCTGTAATGAAAATTTTCATTAATCTGCCAGCTTCTCCTATTCACACATCTCAGTTCTAACAAGCGACTGTACATTTTGCTTAAAAAGCAAGGTTGCAGTTCAAACTCCTGCTGTTCAAAATTACACTGCGAGCTGGAATCTGAAAGCTAGAACTCAGATTTTATGCATAATTTCTACCAAGAATAAAAAGGTTCTGCTACAAACATGTAATTCCTCAGACAAAGCACTTGCTATTTCTTCTTCATACATTACCAACACTCCTGCAATTCTACATACTGAGGCACTTTTACGTGCCACACCAAGAACAAAAAAATGAATTTTAAATTCTAAATAATTAAATTGCCAAGACACTGTCTTGATTTTTTATTTTTAAAGTTGAGAATCAATTCAATATAAACAGGACCAATCCTTGGAGACAGGTAGCATATTACTGTCGTTACTGACTCTGACCTGTCATTAGCATAAAAGCCTACGGTCAAGAGCACTAGGTGCTCCCAAGCTATCTCAAACTATTCAATTAAATCTGTACAATAACTATTAGGTTTCTATATAAAGGCTACTTTTCCTTGAGATGGCTAAACGTTCTCCAACTAACAAGAGGGTGTAAACATTATATCCACAGCATTAGAGTGAAATTAGTGCTTCCCCAGGGAAAAATTCTGTTGCTGCTCAAATTACATGTAGTAATTTGCATACTACATGAAAAATAGATCTTAGGTGTTTAAAGAAGTACATCCAAAAAGAGTAACCTATGCATTTCACAGAGACGTAATGCATGTTGTTTACTATAAATCTTTTTTAAAAAATCTTAATTTTACCTGGGTTTTGAATTGGGCTCAAATCATGTTATGGAAAAAATTGCACTGTGATCCAAATATTATCAAAGAACATAAATGTAATAAATGCGACATATATATTAAAAAGGAATCTTAAATCTGGCCCTGGAATACTTCTGCTACTGTTTAAAAAAAAATAAATAAACCTTATAACAAAGTCCAATACCTACCAAAATAACACCTCAAGCATACAAGCAAACAGAATTAAAATATTAATTTGACTATTCTCTACACGCAAGTCACAGCAAATGTAAGGCTTGTGTTCTATAGATTTATGAAAGAACGATGGAATATATTTGTTTATTCTTAACATATTTATAAATTATATGCATGCTCAAAGGGATTGAAAACTATTTCAAACTACATATTGATTTTGATTTCAGCAGCAAAAAAACTGACAAGGGCTTCTTATATATTAATGCTCAATATACCTGTATACTGAATGCAACCAACAATATTTATTATGATTCACATTCTCAAAAAATGTCAGTAAATGACCGCTCATATGCTCAAGAGGTTCTACAGAAACAACCTAGATAACTGGAACTAGATAAGCAGGTCAGATGCCTCATCCAAAAAACAGACTAAACAAGAGTTACCCAAAATTAAGAATAAGTTGATGATCAAGTATTTTAGGCAACAGAATAATTCTCTCCTAAACTGATTTTAAAATGCATATGTTCAAAAACATATGCAAAAATTATACAAGTGAAATGACTAATACAAGTGTTCAATTTTGGTAATTTCCAATGTTTCCAACTACAAAACCTTCTCCATAGAAATTAAAAACTATCAAGCAACCTCATTACAGCTGACTTGTTACAATCTCACTTGTAGTTAGGTGATCTGTTTAAATGTTTGTTATATCGATCCTGGCTAAAATCTACAGACTGTAAATGTAACAGGCACTGCTTCAGTCATGTTACTTTAACAGGGTTTGATTCTCCACGCATCAAGAAAATCTTCTAATTCATTGAGATGACTTGTGACAGCAGTGTGCTTCTGTATCCAGATTCACATCTTGCATTTTATCAAACAGGAGAAAAATATATAACCTTAACAGAACTTTAATAGATGTTTCAGCTAAGCCAACAGTGTAGCATAAAAGTTCACAGAACAGGGTGAATGAGACTGACCTCCTACACAAATGTAATAAATGCACAGAAAATAAATCCACACAAGCTACCACAGAAATAATTCTGACAGTTACTGTGAATAATTTATATAGGTTCTCTGAACAGTGACCATACTTTGAACATGCATGGTTAACTTCTGTTGGTGGGACCGTCTTTTAGCACTGCCTGATGACACCAAACGAAATTTTGAATTAGGAGAAAGAAAAATCTGGGAGCTCCTTAAGACAGAATCCTTGCTAAAGATATGGATTTGTTCAAGGTCAGGCTATAGAGAAATGGCACTTTAGAAGTTAATGTTCTTGTTCAGCTAAATCAAATAGCAGCAAACGAGATGGAGAAAATAATTCTCCTAATTCCTGCAGTCACTACTATTAGGTATAGAAATTCAAGTAGCAACACGAATGAGCTTCACAAAGCCACCAACAGTTAAAATCAAAGGCCACACATAAACACGTCCAGTGTCAGAACAGAAAATAAAGCAATACAACGATTTACTGACCTACATTTTTTTCCCCAATTACTGAACCAAAAGAAAAAATCACCCAGTAAACAACTTGATTCTTCAGAACAAATGCATGCTCACCAGAGCTATTTAGTTAATTCATTGGCCAATGTAACAAAAAAAATCCTAGTGGTTTTCACTTCCTCATCCACACACAGCTACAAAACGACATGGTAACAGTTTTTTACTGTTAGGTGTGGTGGGCCAATGTTTCATCCATCCATTCATTCACTGAAAGCTGAACTTTCATGGCTACCAATAAGAAGAAAAATGCATCTCAATCGACGATTATGAAATGCACTCTTTGATAGTGCCACGCCGCTTGCATCCGTTTAAGTTTTCACAAAACAGGTAAAAAGCATAAGTGTTTATTATTCTGCTTAAAAACAAACACGTTAAGATTGATGTCCCATCACATTTTTTGACTAGATCACTACTACACAATCATACCTACTCAACCCCTGCTTAAATACGAGTAAAACCTGCAATGTAGCTGTTACATTAAGATCACTATAGGGCAAAGTTCCCGTCTGACTCTTGTGCATGAACTCATCACCTTGCGATATAGTACTAAAGGTCCCGTAAACATCAGAGGCATCAGCGCTTAAAGGTTAAGTGCTTACGCCCCCCAAAACAACTCGTTGCTCTTACAGACCCGTTCAAAGGCCTCTTCCTGAACGTGTGTCACTCTCCCACTTCAACTCAGAAATACCCAAGGTACAATTTACACACACACACACAAAAAAGACACCAGCTCGGATCTGTCAATAAACAAGCTTTTCAACTGTGCTGCGAACACCTTAAGCACTCTCCCACTGAATACCAGCTTTAATAACAGACATGTTTCGTGTGTGGCACCGGCATGTTTGGCCACTAGAGTTGTAGTTGTGAAAAGCGCTGCAAGGCGTGTCTCCCCCCCAGCACCTGCTCCGACTGAAACTCTCCGGCTCGGAGTCACTGCAGGGCCGTGTACAGCAGGGTTACGTGGGCGGATACGAGCTCTCACGTCAAGTACTTCCCGGTACAAGCCGTCCATACGCGGCAGTAGAAAAAGGAAACGGTCGTTCATTTAAAAAAATAAAGAACATTCGCCTATCGTTGCCAGTTCACACGATTCCCTTTAAAGCCGCGGGGGACGACATTTAATTTTTAAAATGAATGCATTTGACCCTCGATGCAGGGCCCTCGGACCAACCAGGGAAATGGTGTCAGAACTACTGCGATCGCGTTGACACCTCGGTCCTCGATTTCGCCGCCGCCGGCAGCCCGTGAGAGAGGACAGGGGACCTCGCTAGGACGGAATGGAGGACTTTTAGAGAGACTCGTAACAGGAGCCGCCGGGATGTCACAACTTAACACCAGGAATTAACTAAAGCTACAGAGACCGGGGGAGGGGGGGGGTCGTTTTTCATTTCACTGCATTTTAAAGCTACCAACTTCTCCCCAAGCGCTGGGGCGCCTTTCTCCCGAGCTAGGGCCGCGCCAACAGCGACTCCCCGGCGGGTCCGGCTCCTCCACTCCCCCCTTTCTTTCATACCTGCAGGTGCTCCTGGAAGCGGATAGGCAGGATCTGAGCCATGGCGGTTCCTCTCTCTGCTCGCTCACTCACTCCTCCTGAAATCTCCGTGCTCTTCGCTACAGCTTCTTCACTCAGGTCCGAAGAGGACGCAGCCACAGGAGGGTCCGAAAGCGGGGCTTGACAGGGAGCCTTCTCGTTGCTGTAATGTCGAAATTTTCGGGGGCGTCAACGCGTGTGTCAATTCTGCCCGCCCGTAGGGTGTAAACTTGGCGCTTGGGATTTGTTTTTTCGTCCCCCTGAATGAAGAGCAAGCGGCCGCAGCTCTCAACTCTCGGAAACCCGCAATGGCGGCGGAAACAGCTCAGGAGAGAAACACTCCGGAAACGGGGTCCTGGACCTTCTAGTAGCGGAAGGATACGCCTCACAAGAAGGCGAGGATCTACCGAGAACAGCCTCAACGACCGCAGTCCCCCCTTAAAAGTAGAGTAGCTTTTGTAGTCAAGGAGGAGAGATTATTCTAAATACTGGGTCGAGATTATTTTGCGCGGTGTGCTTTTTTTTTTCTTCCAAGGAGGCAAGCGACTGCTGGAACTATTTCTTTACGATTCGCCCTTTGATTTTTGCCACATCATTCGTCCTCGTGAATTTACGTCACGTCCGGAAGAAACTTTTTTTTTTTACAGTTCCTCAGTGAGTCTGTAGGGGTGTAATCTGTTAAAAAAGGTTGCTCTGCCCTTTGGTGGTAGTTCACAGACGATTAAAATCGAAAAAAAGAAATGAGCAGTTTTGAGCTGCATAGTTTCAGACCAAACTGAACTGAAATCGGCTTAAAAGGAACTTCACTTTGAACCAAGTGTGACACATAATACGCATAATAATGAAGCTGTTTTCCCAGACTAATATAGGAGAGCCAGTTGTCAACGATTCTTCTTTAGAGTAAGACTACAATGTCCTGGTATTAGGCGTAAATATCACGAAAATAACATTAAATGAGGACAATAATGGGCCCGCTGTATTCACATTTAAAACGTGAATATTTTTAAAAAATAACTGGCACCGAGTCTTTGCCTAATCATAATATGGGCGTAAACATCCCATTAGATTGTAAAGTACGATTTAAGAATACACTTTTTTTAAAAAAAGATTACATCATGCACTTCAAATTTCCGAGTCAGTGCTTCTCCTTGTGCTGACCTTGCTGCGCTGTAACCCTTTTTATTTAAGTGTGGCTGTTCACATTTCTGACTGACGGTGTCTTCACGTACATTGCGTAGCTGTGTCAGTAAGCTAATTCGCGGTATTGCGAGTTTTTACTCATTTCACTGGTGAATTCGACCCAGGCGATGCAGATACGTTTAAGCATACTGTGCCCAGAGCCCAGCAGGAAGCTCCGGACAAGCGAGGTGACATCCCGCTGCTGTCAAAAAGCTGTCATGACATGTCAGCATCACTGGACCTGCTCAGCACAGCAAACTCGGCCCCCGCTGATGTGATGATCTTGCGCAGTGATCGAGAGCTGAAGCAGTATTTATAGCCACGAAGATCGTTTTCATTATTCCTTTGGGAAACAGAAGCTGCCTGTGGCTCCAACCCAGATATAGCTATCAAGGTCAGAATGCACATAACGGGGGGATTTCTCTGATAGAACATGCAATACCGTTAGCGAAGAAAGCAGACCCGTCTTAAATATACCATCAGTAGCCTGTGGGAAGCATGCATAATGTTACTTGTATTTTAAATAGGTGTGTTGAGGGTTTGAGCTGCGTTATTCTTCTGTGATGAGTATAGTAAATATTGCTCTCATAATTCATCAAAATGACAGGTGCTCAGGTTTTGCCATTTTGAGTCGATTTAAAAGTGTTAAAATGAGACAACGTAGAATCTATGTGGTGTAAACAGCCGTTCATGAAAAAATGCTTTAATTAGCACAAGAATAGAGAAAGATGGGACTGGGTAATAAAGATCACCTGGTTGCTTTTGGCACAACTGAAGGTGGATTTTCTGTGAAAAAAACCTGAGATCAACAATGAGCAGACCAGTCCAGAAGAAGCAGGAAACCAGCTCTGTCTGATGGATTCATATCCAGGAAAGTTACTGCACCCTGAGGGACCACATCACAACCATCTGACTTATGTGCGCAGTCATTTTCAGAGTTCTCAATATACAGTAAGACAACATCCAGCACAAACGATCACATCAGCAGAATGGCAGTAGCTCTCCACATGGATCTGCTTGAGAATGATCAGCATGACGTTCAGGGCTGATGCCGACAGCTGACAGACAAAATCTCGTCTTCTGTGGGCTCCGGAGCATTTGAGGTGACAGCGGAGAGAGCCGTGGAGTGTTTTATTCACCAGTGAATTGTGCTTTGCTCTTGACGGATCTGACAAAACTCATCACACGAGGAGACATCATGGTATGCAGTGCGTCACCAACAGAGGCATGCTTGAGGTGGCGTGCCGTGGGTTGGAATCCAAGAGCTTTTCCATTCCTGAAGAGCCAATCCAGTAAGTATCGATTTGCCAGCAGGACAATGCAAGACTACAGAGTGCGAAGATTACAGTGGCATGTCTCTCAGAAAACATTGTTGACTTCCTGCCACAGTGAGCCTGTTGGAGCATCTGTGGGCTCAACTTGCAAATGCAGTGTCATTAACAGGAGACAACCGTTATCTGAAAGACCTAATCTCCTGGCTGCACCTACACAGAAAGTGGAGTAGAATATCTCACAGCATCTGTCTAGAGGCTGACCAGGTCTATAGGTCAGTGCTCCTCAGAATGTTAACGCTCAGAGAGATCATGCCGATAATTACTTTGTAATGTCTTCCTTTTGACAGTGTTACATTTCATACTGAAGAAGCGTGTCTGTATTTTTGTTCACATTTTCTATATTTTATTCTGTTGTTTCTTTTGAGGAACTGCTACATATGAATCATGAATGTGTATATACAGTACATAAATCACCTTTATGAAAAATAAATTTTACCTATGCAAGCACAGGTGTATGGGTATCATCCACACAATCTAGTCTTTATCCTAGTACATCATGTAATAGACTTTATAAAAGAATGTGATTTTGACCTGTTACGTTTGTTTTTGTGCAAAGAAGTGCTTTTAATTTCATGTTTAGTGCATGCAGTTTTAATATGAATGATGCTGGATATGTGAAATTAAGCATATATAAATAGTAAGGACTGTGCCCTTCATTGTAGTATTGTTTAAAAATACAGTAGAGTACATCGGGCAGACGAGGTCAGGTTTATAATTAAATGTGCCCAAATGAACTAAAACGGAATAGCTCACACAAAAGTGGGATTGTGAATAGGGTGTTTTGTAAGCAGTGTGGCAGTTTGGCTCAGTGGAAGAGACCCTGGCCTTCTAAGAGCAACAGCCTATGGGAATTATTCTTGATGCATGAATCCAAGGGAATAGAATTGCCTTGTTATTTCAGCAAAGCACCATTTCAAAAGCTTTAGAATCACACCCTAATACGGTTATCGAAACAAAACGTGACTCACACTGCGTATCAGATACTTATCAGCTCTTTCGCAGAGCCTAGTCTACAGAGATGATCTTTTTTCAAGAATGCCGTCGAACAACTGAAAATCAAATGTACGGTACAGAAAACTGGGTATAACCTCCCAGAAGTGAGCTTTTAATTTCCAAAATGAATGCGGTCACACGTGTGAATTTATGCATGGATGGCAAAAAGAATATACAGTTATACAGTAGTTCAGGTGGGGAGCTGCGTCAGCGTGCGTAGGCTGCAAAGGAACAAGTAATAGATTTATTCCATGCTGAAAAGAGAAGAAAGAAAGAAGAAGGCTCCACGGCCGAAACTTTGTGTTTTCTTTCTTCTCTTTTCAGCCTGGAATAAACCTATTACTTGTACAGTTATACAGTGCCTGGGAAAAGTATTTATACCCTTTTTGAGTAAAAAGTTTTCAAAATGTTGCTGGATTACAAATAATACTTACACAAATACTTATAAATCAAGTTTGGGGCATATATGCAATAATCAAGTAGTAACTTGAATTAGTTAAATTTGATCCAAATCAGAGAGAAGTACAATAATCCGAATGATATACTCACAGGATATAACCCAAACAATAGAGGTTAACATCTGAAATGTTCGAATAAGACGGACAATAACTCAGTAGACCTTTTTATTGTCGACACAGCAATGAAAACCACTGTATTTCAACGGGATTAAAAAGCACTTGTCTTGAAAACACCTCCAATGATTGTCATTAGGACATTTTATCTATATGAAGTCAAGAGGGAAAGCTGACAAAGCAAGTAACAGTCCTTGACTCCTTTCAGAGCTGCGCTGATTTCTCTTTTCTTTGTTTTTCCCCAGTTATTCGCGTTGTGCAATTGTATTTGCAACATTTCCTGCAAGGCTGATTGAGAGGGGCGATTTCCGCCATGACGGCCTCCTGTCCTGTGCTCTGTGCTCACACTGCTCTGAACTCTCCCCTTTTCCTGTTGTGTTGTGTCAGCTGGGACAGGAATGTGAAGTACAGCATTCCAGGGCCTCTTGCTGCCCTCTTCAGCGCTGGGGACCCCGGTCCCAGCACTTCCTCCCTCACTGCGCTTTTCCCTGCTGCCTCTCCTGCTTGCGCTGCAGGTATCGTGCCCGCGCCTCCGCCACAGAGCTCTCGTCGTTCCTCCTCTTCAGTTTCTTCATCATGTCTTCCGCCGCCTCTGCTGCAGAAGGACAGCAAGGTGTGAAACGTGGACAAAGAGTGCAGCATTTCTAAGAAGAATAAAAGCTGGCTGTGTTATTACCTTTGCTCTCAGCCACAAAGCCACAGAAATGTAAGGCCAAGAAGATAATAAACATGTAATAAATAGAAATAAATAGTCCTTTCTGGAATAAGGGCACTCTGTGTTAAAAACCAGTGCTACAGGATACTGTATAAATACTACAGTATTTAGGAAAATTGTTCTTCTTGCTTGGCTAATTGCTGAAATGAAAAAGAAGCACTGCAAAGGAAGACTGTTCTACAACTTAATACCACAAATCTCTTGAGAGATGTAAAACCTGTCCTGCTATTGGAATCCAGGACAAATTCCTGGGTCTGACCACACCTGTCTGTCTTTTAGCCATTTCTTTCCGTTCCCACTTGGCCACCTCCTCCTCCGTGACCTCCTCCCTGGCCACGCTGCTCAGCTCGTACGCGTCCACCTCGTGGAGCTTGGGCAGCAGGTCCCTGACCCACTCGTAGCGGATGGGACAGACCGTTCGCACGTACACCTTGGACGTGACCAGCATGTCATGGAAAATGATCCAGTCCAGCTGGGCTGTGCAATCAAATAGCTGGAAAACAGTTTAGGTAAATCTGTGGGAAGCCTTCTTTTCCAGAAAGCACTTAACAAACCAATACATTTAAGAATTAAATAAAAATGAACACACTGAATAACTGCAGCCATAGTGTAGTATAGCTTTAGCATATCTGTGATGTTATTGTAGAGAAAAATGATGAATGAGGAGTCCTGAAAACATGTCCAAAAGCACGATTCCAGACATCTAGTAGCACACAGCACTTTTTACATTAAACCTTTCATGTCCACCAAGCTAACAGCCCTATTATCTTAATGAGCTGACATGTTCTTTACCGATGATGATGGGTGAATGTGAACAACAGACCCATGTCCATCCATTGTGCAGAATGTCCTCCCAACTGACCTGCAAAAAAGAAAATTGAAATTCTGCTGATCGATTCCTCCAGTTACTCAGCAAAAATAAAAGGTCATCACAGAAAAATAAAAGACAATCCAAAAAATAAAAGCTTCATTTATCATAACTTTTGAGTTTCAATGCTTCTCAATTCACCTAGAGCAAAGTCACTTCTTTTAAATAAAGTTCAACAGATCTGTCCAAGAAAAGGCGCCTGCCCAGCTTGGAAATCTAAACAGCAAAGGCCTACCTTCTAGCAACATTGGTGAAATATCCAGCACACAGACACCTTTGCAGTAGCTCACTCCTAGAGCCGTCAAACTTCTCAGTCGGAAAATCCTTTAGCTGGGGAAAAACAAATCTAAAATGAAGTCTACGGCAACAAAAAAGAAATCGTGGCTACTGCATAGATGCCAAGTTACTTTAGATCCATCAATCCATGACCGGTTAAGAAACAGGATTCACAAAGATATTGAAATAATAATTCTCCATTCAGAAGAATGCCCCAGTCATTTGGCAAACAGAAATAGCTTTTGGTAGCGCTCCGTAACGAAGCCATCCTGTCAAGGGTGGTTCACGCCCCTCGCTCCGGCCAGAACAGTGGAATCCGAGCTGTCGGCGCTCGAGCCAGCAGTGGGGGTCACCTGCTTGAGGCGAAGGAGGGTTTCTCGCAGCTGCGCTTCCACGCTGAGGGCGGACTTCAGGGCTCTCCAGTGGATCCAGTGCTCTCGGCACCACGAGGCAGGAGAGGCGCTGCAAACACAGAGCACAGCCCTCAGTCACCCTCCCATCCCCAGACCATTCACAACGCTGCTGGGAAGACAGCACTTAATACAGGCCGCTGCCCTGCTGGGAAGACGACACTCATTACAGACCGCCGCCCGGGTGATGCTTCCTCCCTGTGCTCACCGCTCTTGCTCAACTAAGGCGGGAAACACATTCCTTCTTGGCCGGGCCCGCAGAGAACGACTTTCACTGCGGCAAGAACGATATTATCTTTAATGAGAACTCGGATCGATGTTTTAAACAGTGCTTGGTTTCTTGTTACGGAATAATGAGAACCGCATGCCGCCTTTAAGGAAAGGAATAATTTTAGCTATCTTAAGGAAGTGTGAGCTGAACTGATGCTCACTGCGTTGGCTTTGCTGACTGACTTACAGGTCGGGGTTTTTGAAGCTGAAAAAGTTACAGGACTAAGCCAAAAAATGTCAGGGTTTCATGGACAGAGCAAGAGCTATTGGATTCTGTGAGGAGGTTATACTGTATATAATTGGCGTAATGAATGAATTGAAATAGACCATTGGGCATGTCTCAGTACTGTAAGATATATCAATGAACCATTTTAAAAATCAAGGGGGAAATCGCTTTGCATTTTTTGCAGCTTAACAATTCTCTCTGAAATACCTGGCTGTGCATTGTTCAAAGATGTGGAGCAGAACTGCAAAGTCACTCCCGGCGCCTGCTTGAGTGGCTAGCTGCCTGTGCTTCACTTCTGATTCCTGCTGTTTTTCCGCCTGACCTATGTGACCCAAAACAGCCATGTTAGTATTCTGTGAGTCGGAGATCCAGTTCCTCCCATGCTCTGTTGATCAACAGGTGAACTACAACAGGCCTCAGTTTACATAGGAATACATCAAGCCTTTCCTACAAGGCCTCTCTCATGAGGCTCAGCAGAATTACCGTTTTCGAATAATAAATAATTCTGTGGCCTTCCAACACTTTATAGACAGAGAGACTCACACAGTTCCAACACATTTACAAGCCTTCTAAAATTAATAAACACTTCCTTGGCACGCATTCTAAGATATTTCCTTTCTCTTATGTCTGACAATACCAGTATTTATCAATAACGTTTCTCCAAAAGAATTTCACCATCAGGTGCCGGCTTCAAAAATACAAACCTATCTTTGTGCAATAATGAATAAATACCTAAAAAATGTTTGAACGGTCAACAAATGAACACTTGTTCGGATAGTTCTGCCACATAAGCAGATACAAGATAGAGTACAGAGCTGTTTTATTTTCCTGCAAGTGAATGCACACAGTAATGGGTTTGCACAAATACTGATCTACTTCTTCAAGTCTTTATTTGTGCTGTCGGGCACAACTGCTCACTTTGCTGCAGATGAGGTAGAAAGGCAAGTTGCTCACACTTGACTCAAAAAGAAGAAAAAGGCCAAGTTAGTCTGAGGATCTAGCCTTTCAAATACAGATGACCCTTGTCAGATATACTTTGAGCGACTCTGCTGCAAGGACTTCGATTGTTTATGGTTTTAAGATGCGAGAATTAAGTCCTTTTTCCTCTGGTTTACCAAAATCTTTACCAAGATTTTTTTTTAGCAGTTCTCATTCTAAATGAAGACGTATGAACAACAATAAAAGGTAACATCATAAAACCTGTCTACTGGTATGGGTGTCACAGAGTCTGTAGAGCCTCTGATCGATATCTGATTTGTCATTCATGTTCTGTGTTAAGAACTCCTAATGTACCCCATGAAAATGACCACTGGACGTTCTGAACTGGACATCCTGAGTAGTCAGGACCACCAAGAAGGCATTCGTGAATTACAAAGAGATACATTTATATAAGCCTGAGATAAAATTACATTGGGAGCCCTTAAAGCTTGAACTGGTCAGTTATTAAAAGCTCATTATAAAGAAACATTCAAAGAAAACCAAAAGGGTCATAAACAGTGTAAGGTTCTCCATTGTATCCAATGTGCTTGAGAGAGGGAATTATTGCTGAAGGGAGTTGTAGTCCGATTTGGGTCTGACCTGGTCGAATGAAGACGTTCTCAACGGAGAGCATGGCAGCCACAGGGAGCAGCAGATTCTCACAGCCCAGCGCTGCTGCTTTGATCAGGGCCCGGGTCAGACCCGGGGGAAGGGGGAACTCCGCCATCATCTGGCCCAGCCTCATCACTCGGCCTCTCCTACAGCAGCAGCACAGAAAAGACACCGAGGATTTTCTCTCTCCACGGCTCAACGTCACGGGTGTTTACCTGCCCCTGTCCTTCCCAATCTTTCTCCTTCCCGATCGCTCCTTTAAAATGATTGACAGTGACAGAGATCACTTCAAGCACAATCGTACTGAAAAAATGTTCTTTGGTCAGAGCTACTAGAAATCACTGCCATTTCAGCAAGTTATAATTCAGATTTATTTGATAAAGTGTCATTAATAGTCTGATGGTCAGGTAACGTAGAAAGTGACATTTATTTGATATCAGATGTAAGGCAGCTGCCACAATTTCTAGTAAATTAGGTCAGCAACAGCACATATTTATGGAATTAATTTCTATTGGTGTGGCTGTACGCATTCTGTATTATTTAACTAAAATACAACACTGTCATTTACTATACTACTGTATGTGCAAACAAAGTGGCTAAAACTGTTCTCAGAAAGTGGGTTCTCATGACAGTTTTGTTCACTCTGCACCTTAAATGAACAACACAATGAAAAAGTATTCAAACACATCTGGCAAATAACCCATTCTAATAGGTTTGTGTCCACTTATTATTATTTAAAATACAGATTCTGCCTCCTGCTGTTAATGGGATACCCTTGGATTATATAAACAAAAAGGGTGTATCCTTATAAGCATATACTTTAGACTTTCCTTAAACAGGAAGTGAGATTGTCGCAAAATAATATTTGGGTGGAAACCGCAAGGGGGAAGACAATTCAGCTAGCTCTTCAGCTGCCTAGATTTTGTCTGGACCTTTTGTGATTCAAGATGAGATCTTCTACACTCTCACCCTTTCTACTCCAACTGCCACAAGAGCTTTACGCAGCTGCAGGAGCTGTACTGTCGTACTGTTTGCTCCCCGCTGGGTTCTCAGGGCTCTGTGATCACAGCCGTAAGCACTGTGATGAAATGGAAGAGGTCTGTCCCTGCAGACGGACGTCTAGGGCACCATGCTACTCGAGTGCAGGCCCGGGAACCCCAGTCACCTGTCAATGGCATCGCACTGGTACAGCTGCTTCAGGGCCTCCAGAAGGAACCTCTCTTCAGGACGGTCCAGATAAGGGAACCTGAAACCAAAAGCAACAGCTTTTCAAAGGCACAAAAGGGAACGCAAAGGGAAATCCAACACATTCTAACAGTTCTAAACACACAATCTTGGGGATACCTGATAACATCGTCGATTCCCAGGCACTTGAGAGTGAGGACGACAGCAGTCAGACTGGTCCTCTGGATCTCTGGAACAGTGTACTCTGACATGCACTTCTCCCAGAAGTCCCTGCTATAGATCCTGTAACACTTCCCAGCGCACATCCTCCCTGCCCTGCCTGCCCTCTGCCGAGCTTCACTCCTTCACAGCCAAGAGAAACCAACACACACGCAGAGATACGTTCACAAAAGCTTTGTTGTAATGTCTATTGAAATGGAGGCAATGGGAAAAGCCTACCATCTAGAAAGGCTAGCTATGTTTGGTTGATTTTTTAAAATGTATACTAAGAGACAAGTAAAAATTGTAATGTCCACAGTATATTCCCCCTAAACCATGAGTTCGTTGAAGAAAAAAAATCACATATCTTTTTAAGCTGTTTATAATAGAACCAACATGAATTTTATTACTTTAAATTCCAAAGCATAAACCTTCTACGTAGGAATTCACTTAAGATCCATAAGGTAAACTGTTCTAGCTCATTTCTGGGAAGGTAGGATCAGGGGTGAAGCTTACATGATTAGTGCTCCAATGGCTGTTCCAGGAGATTAACTCCCCCGGGATTTTACAGTATATAAACAGCCGTGTGATTTTTCATGTCTGCTTTGTCTGTTACACTTCCAGGACTTACTTTGAAATTGGTACCACTTCCAGAACATCCAGCCTGACTCTGGAGTTGTGGTTCAGCTGTTTGACAAACCCACTGTCAACAACATACCTGCGGAGCAGAAATAATGCTTTAGACATAAACTTTAGGGAAGTTGAGGCTTTTGAATTCTTACTCAAGTCTCATACTGTAGCGCCAAATCTATTCTCCTAGAATTAAAGACAAGCACAGGTGTGTGTGTGTGTTACCGGTAGTTCATTTCCTATTTACCTTATTCCATTTATTGTCAAAGATGTAGCGGCAATATTTGTTGCCACCACACACTTCCTTATGCCCGCTGGAGGTGGCTGAAATATTTGCCTTTGCTGATCTGATGAGAAAAACAAGAATGCAGCTCAGCCATTACCGGAGGGAAGGAACCAGATCACGCAGACCCCACTGACAGCTCATTTATAAAATGATTTTCTCCGGAGAAGTACCAGTTGGCATAGATCCATATAGAGGCAGAATCAGCAGGCCTTCCACAGATCTGTCTCGCACGTCGTAACGATAGTCTATGGACTCGGCCTTCTGGTAGAGAATATCGCAGGCTTTCTCAATCTCAATCTGCCCTGAAGCACAGAAACACAACAACATTCAGCTTCTATAGCTCTACAGCTCTTATGTGATCTAAAATGTGGAATTCTTATAATCCACTATGGTTCCACTGAGCTGTCACAATCTTTGAGTAAAGAAGAAAGCAACTCAAAGTAGCTTTTGCTAAAAAGGAGGTGTCTAAAAGGTGTCTTTTGCTAAAAAGAAGTGTTCATAGTAGCTCTTTATTTCATCCAAACTATACTTTCAAACAAGTCTGTCAGGATTCTGTTTGCAATGTTTTGTACTATGTATATATATAAAAAAATCAATTTTTTAAATTAAAATACTTCAAAAAAGAGAGGTGTGTGAAATGGGAAACGGTGTCAACTACCGAGACCTTGTCAACAGTCCCACTATGAGCCACCTGGAAGGAACCCAAGCAGCAGATGCAAGCTGTCAAGCACCAAACATCAAGACTTAAGAGCAGGTGGACGGCTTGATGCGTCCCCTGGGCCTCACAGAATACACTTCACCACTTCCTCCAGGAAGCATTAAGAAGAGGCTCCTGACAGTGTTCTTAAACATCAGTGACGAGACACACGTAGGGCTTACCAGTCAGAAAAACAAGCATGTCCCCTGCTCGCTCACTGGTGTGTACATCCAGAGCCACGTTCACAACCTGACCAAAAACACAAACCACGACAGGGGAACCGTAACCACTGGGAGTCAAGGACTGTTCAAGATTGAGTGTGTTTTATAAAGAATCAAAGTCAAAGTCAAACTGATAGCTGAAACAAAGCATTAATAACCTCTCAAGGAGCTATGGTAATGCCTTTTCCTATCCTATTTGTCTAGTTATAAAATGCTCAACGAGTATGCCATCCATCCATTTTCAGCAAGCACGTGGAGTGGCTGTGCACCAGGACCTAACCTGGAAAACAAAGGGATCCAGGTAGGGTACGCCCCAGGTGAGACACCAGTCCATTACAGGGCACACATGCACTCATATGGTAGATAATTTAAGCACATCAATTAATCTAGTCAGCATGGCTTGCTCGTTGGATTGGATTGTGGAAGGAAACCTGAGCACCTGACAATACGTGACCACAATAAATGCAAAAATGCAAGACTCAGGATCTACAAGGCAGCAATGCTAACACCCCCAGATAACAGCAGCGCATCAACTATGACAGCACAGAGTAGCCAGTTAAAAGATTTACTGTTCTTTATAAAGCTCTGATAAAAAAAAAAATCATGTTTGGCCAAGGCAGGAAATGTTATGGGAGTTCTTTCGTCATACAGCTGTCTTATTCAATAGGGCAGGCAGAAATCTTCTTAACCGACATTTGTGTCCCAAACACTTCACGACCACTTGTTGAGCACGAAGAGCAGAACAAACCCATCATTCTTCAGTCCTTTGGACTCATATGAAATATCAGCAGTTTTAATTCTTATTAAGTTAAGAGTTCTTATGAAGAGCAGCAGGTTACCTCCTTTAGATAGGCAGAGCTTTCTGTGTCTTTGGGACCTATGAGGTTGCAGAATATCTCGGTGACTGGGAACGTGCGGCCCGGGATGGTGAAAACAGGACAATGACCCAAGAAAACGGAGAGCTTGTCCGTTTCCAGAGTGGCAGACATCACCACTACCTTCAGAGGGGCTGGCCGGCCTCCAGACCCCTCACCTGTCTGACACCGTTTCTTCAACAGCCCCAGCAAGATGTCCTGCAAGACACAACGCTACTTAGACCCTCCTTTATTACTATTATTACTATTTATTACCGCTTTATTACTATTACTGTCTGAGGGGGGAAAAAGTATATTTTTATTTCTAAGATGGTCTACAATGCAACACTAGCACATTTAAAAACACAAAGACATTCTCTTTCAAACTCTTAAGACAGGCCTCAAGCAAGAAGAGAAACACAAAAACAGAAATGTTTTTTCCCCATTATACAGTACGTACACATCAAACGGGAGACGTGAAGCAAAGTGCCCCCCCACAAAAAAAGCTCGATTCCATTCTAGGATTCAGCTTATTCAAAAGGATCATTCAAAGTTCTGTTACTCTGGGCTTGCACAAGGTCACTCAACCCTTCCAATAATCCTTGTAGACGTCTCTCTTCTGGAAACTTTTTAAAAACATGCCCAAGTTCTGCTACCTCCTTGTGAAATATCATCTTTGACATCACACAAGTTCAGCTGTTGGAGTGAGATGTGAGGGGTGCAGGGCTTGAGCCCAGCTGAACTCAAAACGTGTAGACATATGTGTAACCACGGTTAGTGTCCCTGGCCTACAGTTTCAGTACAGCTTTCAGGCCCAGACTAGCTCAAGGCTGTACTCACCGTGTTCAGGCTTCTTTCGTGAGCCTCATCCAGAATAATGACACTGTACTGGCGCAGACTGGGGTCCGACAGAATCTCCCTTAGCAAACAGCCATCTGTCATGTACTTAATAGCAGTGTCCTGTCAATACATACAAGATTCTTACAAGCTTACACACAGTTTTAGTGCACTAAGACTAAGTAGCTTTACATTCAACAGGTTAATGCTCTTTTTTGTTCCAAAAAAAAGTTGACATCATTTCTTTGGAAAGGACAGAGGAAGACTACAATCTATAACTTCATCCCATCATTGCTTATTGCACTGCATATGCTTCAAAAAATGTACTGCTTTAATCCACACTGACCTTTACTTCACATTGATCAAAATCTTTAAAAACCTGCCCATGATATAAGCTAAACTGTAAGTGAGAATCTAATATAAAATGTTGTAGTGGCTAATCCATCACATTTACCAATCACACCTAATGGAAGACACACTGTAATCTACACCTCATCATTAGATCCTCTGTACACATCAATGAAGCGAAAAGACTACCTTTTGTATGAAAAAATACAGATCTATAAGGATTCAGTTGTTGCAAAAGAAAACTTTTCAACAGAAGATTTTTCCTTCATAAAGAAGGAAAAGTCTTAAGCGGAATGTCTCACCACGCTCCTGAAAACTCATTGTAAAGTTCAACCATAAAGTACCGTAGCGAACCCTGGCATGTGACAAAACCAGGTCTTAAAATCCCTAACAGCTGTCTACCAAGAAAGAACAATACTTGAAGACAATACCCTTACACAACAGAAAGAAGACCAGCACTGAGCTGAGACCTGAACTGACAGAAGGTGTCATTGCCCATGCATCAACACAAGCACTTTTTAAAGCAGGGCTTAAAGGAGCAGTGAGAAAGGTTCTATTAAGACGGAATAAAAAACACGAAATATGCACACGATATGCACATTCTTGTCATAAAATAATTAACTGCAGAAGTAAATGGTTACATTTATATCAAGCAAGATATCCTGTCCTTGACCCATAATCTAACTGTACAGTTATACAACACACTCTCTCTATCACCCCTGTGTGATTATATCGATCTGTTCACTTGACTCCGCGAGAGGAAGGAAAAAGCTCGGTTTCCCATCTGTTTGGGCACATTTTGCAATTACCACTTGCAAAAGAACTAAAATTGCAGAACAAAGCCTGCTTAAATCATGCACTTGCTGGTGTCATTTATTTTTCTCCATTCCTCATTTCAAGCTGGCACGGAGCAATCTTTGGTCTGAAAACGCACGGGGAGGTTACTCATTTACTATGCCATACTGGTTTAATGTTCTTTGCTCCCTCTGGCCAGTGAAAAGCACCAGAAAAGCATTCAGTTATGTTCAGGATCTACACAAAAACAATAGACATTATTATAATATAATAGATCTATGTAATACTTATACCCTTGCAGGGGTACACCACATTTACCAACCAAACCTAAAGGAAGGACTCATTGTAATCTACTCCTCTTCATTAGATCCTCTGTACACATCAATGAGGCTAAAAGGCTACATTTTGTATTACAAAATACAGATATATAAGGATTCAGTTGTTTCAAACTAAATACGTACATATTTATACCCTTCCTTCCTGCAGATCACAAAATTCATGTAACTATTTTCATATTTTCTTTATAAATCAGCGGTGTGCCTGAAATTCTGTTCTTACCAAGGGTTAACAAAAGGATACTTTGCGTGATACACCTGCATTTAAAATATCACTTTCCCCTAATCTTGGAATGCAATGTACAACTGTACTCCCATCAGAAGTGATTTTTTTTCTGAAAAGTATTGGAATTTCAATACTGAAACGATAAATAATTAATTGAAAAAAGCCACACATTTCACTCAAAAATAAAAAGGACATGCATGTATATGACTGCTAAGGTAAAGGTACCATAACTGCCAATTCGTTCATGTAAATCATTAATGTGATCACTTGTAAAAATGACAAAACGGCCAATAACTAATACAGAAGCTGAACTATTACCCAGATCAGAGACATTTGGTGGGCAGGGCTGCATCACATTCTATCTTTTCCAGAAG